TGACAACGGGTGCTGTTTGTTGCTGTCTCTCGCTGTCCCACGTGACGCGTGCCCTGTGTTCAAACACACGCGCCGCGCTCGGCGAGGAGGCAACCGGCTGATCCGCGCGTCTCCTCCCGCTGTTGACTTTTTTTTCGTTCCAAAATTCAATTTTCTCACATTTGTAGCGAGTCCAACCGAGTCGTCACTACACATTGTTACAGCACAGTATTATTATTGTTGCTGTTGTTGATCCTCTTTAAACAAAACGCCAACAATGAAACAAACCGTTACAAACTCTTAGGTTGTTTCGGTAAAGTCACGTAGGTGACTTTACCGAAAAACCCAAAAAACCTAAGAGTTTGAATCCTTGCAGTCACGAAAGCTTCAAATCTAAAACCGCTATAATTCTGTGTTTTTGGAGCTCGCCGGTAATTAGCCTTTTATCGGCTTTGGCGTCACACTCGTGAACGCAAAGTGCATCCCCCGATAAGAAGCGTGCACGAGTGTGTGTTGCCTTAGTAAGGCATGCGTTCCATATTTATTAGTGGTTTGCATTAGCAAAGTATGCGTTCAATGTGTAGAGGTGTTACGGGAGGGCGAACAAACACACCAGGAGTGGTTATGCCCGCACGCGGAAGGATGCTTACATCCACGTCCGCATCGTTTAGCCTGGGAGGCTGAAACGGCGCTGTGATCCCCCACGGCCCCACCCCTCGAGGGGGGAGTTGCTATATAAGGCGGTGAGCCGGTGAGCTCGGGGTTCAGTGTTTAGCTGAAGCCAGTGAAGAAAGTAGACCGGCTAGATAGGTCCTGGGACTCCCCTGGATCGCTGTCCTTCTAAGGACCGACCAGGGCAAGCCAGTGGCGTGGCCCCGAGAGCCCAGAGCCGATGCTCTTGTAAGAGCCGGTCTGGTGACTAAGGGTGCCGTGATCCCAGCTTGGCCAGAACTGGGTCAGCTAGCCTCCCCTAGCTCCGTAGTGGAGGATCTGGGAGTAGGCTAGCCGGGTTAGATATAGTAGGATCTTCCTGTTAGACGGGTGAAGGGGCCGATACAGCTTGACCTGTATTGAGTGAAACGTTTAATAAATAAGTGTGCCTCCGACTACGTCGTCCAAGTCTCATTGAACCTACTACAAATGTTGTGTATAAGTGCGTTTTGTGTTAGTAAGGTATTTTTCATGTTTTGTGTTAGTAAGGCATGTCACGCTGTTTTGCATTAGTATGTTTCACGTTGTGTATTATGCCACGTGTTTCACGCTGTGTGTACGTCAGCAAGGTACGTGTTTCAGCGTTGTGTATTCGTGTCTTGTCACCGCAACGTGACGCCGACATTCCCAGCAGCAACAACAACAAAATATCAGTCTATTCATAGTCTCAAGCCGCACCTTACCATAATAATAAAAAGTGTGCCGTTCCTGGCCCTTCCCCCCTCAACCATTATATATACGGAGTGGTATCTCTTGTAATCTCTCATTTTCTTGATACAGCTGTCAGGCTGTGACGGTTCCACCTGAAGACGGAAGCTTGTGTTGCCTCCGAAACGTCGTGATTTTTATTTTATTTTTATTTAACTTTTATTAATTTTGATACAAAAATTTTACCTACGTGACTTTACCGAAAAAACCTAAGAATATGAATCCTTGCAGTCACGAAAGCTTCAAATCTAGAACAAAATATCTCCTGCACGGTATCCATGCCGTAGCCTGCAGCGACCGTCATTGCCACACACGGCAATCGTGGCACATGCCACTTTCCCGGAACTTGTTCGGGCGAGTGTAGGGGGAGGTTAACCGGTCAGTGTGGATAAGCGACGTTGTACCGCACCGAACACGTGTGAGGTTTGCTCATCTGCATATATATAAAAGGCAAAGCTGTGATTATGTGTGTCTGTTCAACATGTTTAGCGTACTTCCCGACATGCAACAAACTTGAAATTTGCCATGTGGGTACTTTCCAGACTGTACACGATGTAAAAAATATTAAAATACACTTTTGGGTTTTTTTGGGTGGGGGGGGGGCTCAATAATGCATCTATTTTTTGCACGGCAAGTGAGCTGTGACATCACATCTGTCACGTGACCCGCGCACGTGGAAGCGTAACGCATTGTAGTGTAGCGGGTAGCACGCTGCGCTACGAACCCGGCGACCCGAGTTCGATTCTCGCTCACGGCCACCACCGGTGACGATTATTTGAACCGGTCCAGGACCTCCCCTAGGTCGACTCAAACGAGTGTGTTGTGTGAACATCGCCACTGGGGAGACAAAGGCGGCCGGGCGTGATGAATCCAAGTCCCGGCGAAGCCAGGTAGTAAAGCTAGTGTTTAATATGGAAGTTGTGAGTTCAAATCCATTTTTTCTCCTCCATGCAATCCCCTTAATATGTTTCTGAGGACACCAAAGCAGTATCTTTTAAACGGCGAGAGAAAAGACAATAACTCGATCCAGAATGCAATGACTCTTAACAAGATTTGGAGTTTATTAACCAAGCCTTGATTCGTTATGCATAGTGTGTCAGTATGAACATACGCGTGGTTATGATTGCACATCAGTGGGTCCGTGCCTAGGAGAGCTGTATTTCACTTTCGAGAAGTCTCCAGGTCGATTGAGAAACACATTCATTTCATCATCTTTGTCGTCTTGCATGTCGAGCGGTTAATGATTACAGCTACCCGCTCGAGGTTAGGCTTCAGAGGTTAGTTACAGTACATACATAGCGTGCACTGACGCATACACACAACGGTAATACGTGTGATACACTGTATTCGCACAGGAATACAAAGATCCCCCAGTATAGCATTTAAGAGACTAGGGGCAAGTGCTGTTCGCGAGCACCTATGAAGGCCGGAACGGCAGGCGAGGGGGTGGGTGGTCTGCAACACGCCCGACCGCCTTTGTCTCCCCAGTGACGATGTTTACACATCGCACCAGGTACTCATTTGAGGCTGATTCGACCTGGGGGAGGCCCAGGACCGGTTTAGATATTCCTCATTGGTGTTGGCCGTGAACGGGAATCGAACCTGGGTCGCCGGGTCCGTATAACAGCGTGCTAACCACTACACTACCGCTCCCCACAAAAGTCACTCACTCACACTCGGACACAAATGTTCAGACACACAAAAATAATGCAAAGATCCCACAAATATCCTTTTAGACTGTCGGGGCAATATATGCTATTGCATGGCACTTGTTCCAACAGTTATGTAGTGCATAGAAAGACAAAGATTATGCCATATAGCCTTAGAAGACTGTTGGGACTTTTAATGTGGTTAGCGAGCACCTATTAAGGCTGGCGTGGCACACCGGGGGATGGCGGTGTGGCCAGGACTACGCTCGTGCCGCCTTTGTCTCCCGGATGTTTACACACAACACCGGGCATTCATTTAAGGCCAAGTCGACCTAGAGCATGCCCAGGGCCAGCTCAGATATAGAAAAAGGGCATGGCCTGGGAATCGAACTCAGGTTGCTGGGTTTGTAGCGCAGTGTGCTAACCACTGCGCCGCCACTCCGCACACACTTACACACAACTGCCGATTCGCCACTAAGTGGTGGTGACATCACCACGGCAGCCTGTGCCAGGCCAGGTGCACTATGAGGTCACGTCAAGTGTCAAAGGCTCACTGACAGGAGGTCACGGGACAGACCCTGCAGGTGCCATGGGTTGACTGAGATGACTGGCAGATGCACCAGCTGTGCCCCTCTTACTATGCCACAGTTGCTGCGTTTTAGCCGCCTGGCGCTCCGCTCATTGTTGTGAGCATCGCTCCTCTGCCCTCCAGTTTTTGTTCGAGGGTCACTGCCTCCAACCGTCCAGTAGCATCCTTCAAGAGCCTCAAGTACACATAACACGCACAATTATTTGCAAGGTCATGTGTTTTAAAACAACGGCACCCGGAGTATCAATACCACTCATCAGGGGCAGCAGCAGCAGCAGCAGCGGGGAAGTGCAATACCAGAATCCATTGTTGTACTGTACTATGCTGCCCCTTATCTATGCTCCGTTACCTTCACCAACCCGCACTGACCAGCACGGTGAAGTACGGTTAAACAGCCCGGCACGGCGCGTGCGGAGTCCCTCATCCGGCAGTGGGTTGACAAACAAGGGCTTTTGATGCTGTTAGCGAGCACCTATTAAGGGTGGCACGGTGCACGAGGGGGTGGTGGTGCGCTACAAACCCACTAACTGCCAACACCAGTGACGATTATCTGAACCAGTCCTGGGCCTCGCTGAGGTCGACTCAGCCTCAAATGAGTACCTGGTGCGATGTGTAAATATCGCCACTGGGGAGACAAAGGCGGCCAGGGCGTGGTGCTGGCCAGCCACCCTCTTCGTGTGCCGTGCCGGCCTTCATCGGTGTTCGCTAAGAGCACTTGCCCCAGCAGTCTGTTAAGGCTACAGGGGGGATCTTTGTCTTTGTGGCCAGCACCATTAGTTTGTCATGGTTCAGTTCTCCCGTGTTGTTCCACAGAAGAAGGCGCTAATCACACACTGCCCATCTCTCTCAAGGCGTCACGAGCCCTCTACGGCCCTGCGCAGTGATTCACGCAGTCGATCCAAGAACCCACCCTGGGAAATATGGGGGGGGGGAGGGGGGCATTAATGACACTAGGGGGCCCATGTGTAGGTACAGAGTGGGTGGGGGGGGTCCTCATCAGTAGATTCAAGGTGGGCATCTGGAGGTAATGATGCACGCATCTTAAGTGGGGGGGGGGGGCGTCCCAGGATTAAAACTAGAAATGTATTTTACCAGGTAAGGCCCACGTAGCTATCCAGCTCTTATTCAGAAGCGACCTGGCTATCACAAATTATATCTTCTTCTCGGTTCTTTCGGTAAAGTCACGTAGAATGGAAATAATAAAATAATAAAAATACAACTTAATTAAATAATTCTCACGACGTTTCAGCCACAACGCAAGCAGCCGTCCTCAGGTGAAGAACAGGTCTGTCGAGAAGACAGAGTCTGAAGACAGAGTCTGAAGACAGAGTCTTTTGCTTGCGTTGTGGCCGAAACGTCGTGAAAATTATTTCATGTTTTATTTTTATTATTTTATTATTTACATTCTACGTGACTTTACCGAAAGAACCAAGAAGATGAATCCCTGCAGTCACGAAAGCTTTAAATCGAAATTTCACAAATTATATCTCAACGAAGTGGCTTGTGTGGAAATGTATAGCAGCCAAATACTCGAGATGCATGTCGATTCTAAATGTGGAGAGAAAAACCGGAGGGCCCGGAGAAAAAAAATCCACGTGACCACGGGGAGAGAGCAGTGCAAACTACAAATATGCAGGAGTCAGGGTTGGGATCAAACCCACGAACTCCAGGATACCAGGCGACTGTGGCGCCCCCTAGGTATTGTGGGGCCCATTCATAGGTAGCGCAAAGCCCTCAATCAGTCATTTCTAGGGGCCCATGTCCGTAGCTCTTAGTGCACGCACTATTAGATATCGTGCGGTGCATCTACAGGTTGCGGGGAGCCCAACGGCATGCTTAGAGGAGCCCCATCTTTGGATATTGGCAGGACTGATCCATAGGTAGTGGGTGGGTCCTATGATTAGGCATTGGGGAGCCCTAGCAGGAGGTTTGGGGGGCCCCATCCCTAGGTGGTGGGGGGGCCGGTGGGTGGCGGCAGGGCTGGTCACAAGCTCCTGGTTGTTGTTGGTCCGCCGCTTGCACTCCTCGAAGAACGGGTACATACACTTATCCGCTCCCAGGAAGCGGTACATGGCCACGACAGCCTCCCATGGAAGGATACTGAACGCGGGGACACGGAAACACAGAGACACACAAAGACACAAACTAAAATATAAACTATCTCTTGTGTTAAATTTCGATTTAAAGCTTTCGTGACTGCAGGGATTCATCTTCTTGGTTCTTTCGGTAAAGTCACGTAGAAGGGAAGTAATAAAATAAAAATAAAATAAATATTTCATTTTATTATTTTATTATGTTTTCTTTTATTATTTTATTACTTCCCTTCTACGTGACTTTACCGAAAGAACCAAGAAGATGTCTCTTATGTTACCAGGTAAGGCCCACTGAGCTATGCAGCTTGTTTTCAAAAGTGACCTGGCCACAAATGATAGCCCAATGAAGTTGCTTATAATATGGAAATTTATAGCAGCCAAATACTCAAACGAGTACCTGGTGCGGTGTTGCAAATGTCACCACGAGGGAGACAAAGGCGGCCGGGTGCGGTGCTGGCCACCCACCCCCCCTCGTGTACCGTGCCGGCCTTCGTAGGTGCTCGCTAACAGCACTTGCCCCAACAGTCTGTTTAGGCGACACGGGAGATCTTTTGTCTTTGATGATGAAATTATTTTTGTATTTTACCAGGTAAAGCCCACTGAGCTGACTATCACATATGATAGCCCGATGAAGTTGGCTCATCATCATGTGGAAATGTATACCAGGAGAACACCCTAAACGCGTCATGTTCATTCTAAACGTGGAGGAAAAAAACTGGAGGACCCGAAGAAAAATACACTCGACAACGGGGAGAGAGACATGCACACTTCAAATATACAGCAGGCGTCAGGGTCAGGATCTAACCCACGACCTCCTGTATACTAGGAGAGGTAGTTAACATCTCACCACTGTGAAGCTCACACAAAAAGAGACACACACACAAAGAGACACGCAGATATGTACACAGTCACTAAACAACTGTATCCCCAGTGCTGATGTTTCACACACTGCACCAGGTGCTCATTTAAAGCCGAGTAGGTTGGGGGGGCATGACCAGTTCAGATAACACTGGTCAACAATAAAAACAAATTTCTGGCCTGGACTTTTGCAGCTGTTTTAGACTAATTTCAGGGCGCTGATTCCAAATCTGATCTCAGATTTGCTCTATCACATCTAATTTTTATGCTATCGGCATACCCAATTTCATTGATTTTACTCGAAATTAACTCTGTCACTTTTGATTGCAAGTTGTTGCGAGTCAGTGACTGATTTAGTGTTAAAATATGGTGCTGTATTTTTAGGATAGTGTCTTTATAATATCATTTTATGTAGATATCCACATTTATTTAATATTTTTCTTCTGCAGTTTCTATTGAAAATGCAATATTTGATATCTCAAAAACCTGATTTGATAGACAAAAACTGATGCCAGATTTGGAATCAGCACCCCACACTTACCTTAAAACCGTTGGAATACCTTATGCCAGAAAAAGTGTGTTGACCAGTGTAATTGTCACCAGCGTTGGCCGTGGGCAGAAATCGAACTCAGGTCGCCGGGTTCGCAGTGCAGCGTGCTAACTGCTACAACACCGCGCACGCTTGCAAAGTCTCACAAAGACAGCACGGACGTGAACGCACCTCTTCATGAAGACGACGAGGTAGATGAGACGAGGCATACACAGCACGGGCTGGTCGGTGAGGATGGCTCTCATCGCCTGCTGCACGCACTGCTCTGGCTGCAGCGGGGGCAGCACGTACGTCTCCACCTCCTTACTGCACACACACAAAGACAAAGATCCCCCGTATAGTCTCAAGAGATTGCTAGGTAAAGTTCTGTTCGCGAGCACCGATGAAGGACCGGTACGGCACACGAGGGGGGTGGGTGGCCAGCATCACCCACACCCGGCTGCCTTTGTCTCCCCAGCGCACGTGCAGGACCGCCCCAGTCTGAAACCACAGTGTCTTGGTGAGATGTGCGGTGAGGAGGTGAGTTCGTGTTGACGAGCTGGGTCTACAGTGTGCCGAGTTGGTACCCTGCACACCATGATAATGAGATGCTCCATCTGAAGGGAGCCGATATAAAAAAACACATTTTCAAATATTGTTGGCGATGAGGCAAGTAAGTTTGGCGAGGAGCAGTTTGGATACAAGGCTGCGGATCCTGCGGACACTCACCGTATCCGGCACCCATGGAACATTCCGGTCTGGACGAGGTAGGGGCAGACGAGCGTGGTCTTCACACCGTCGCGTTCCATCGCCTTGATCTCGTGGCTCAGCGACTCGTGGAATCCCACGGCGCCAAACTTACTTGCGCAGTAATCCTAGCGTGGAGGGCGGCGATTTGTGTTAGCGCCCCAGCCGAGAGAAGTCGATGTCTATCCCTGCTCGCGACGATACCTCCCTCCGCTACGGCGGATGCTCCCGCTCCCTTCACGGCCTCTCCCCAAACCCCTCGCCTCCACGCTCTAGATGACACGCAATTCCGCAGGCAGACTTCTCACCAGCGCCGATAAACGAGACCACATAGCCCCTGTACTTTTATATAGTGGCACCAAACCCAATCGTTAATGTCAAGATCACACGCAACGTCTTCCAAGATTCTCTGCGGACTCGCTGCTGCTTACCTCTCTGCTCTCAGCTCACTGTGCCCCCCCCCTCCTCCACACACTCTCCTAATTCTTCCCTCTCATCTCACTTTACTCTCCTACACACGTAATCCTACCACTCCCCTCTCATCTCTTTTTTTGCACCCCCTTATCTCACTCTACTCCCCTCCATGCACTCTCATACCTCTCCCCTCTCAACTGACCCAATTCCCTCCACACTCCTACCTCTCCCCTCTCATCTCACTTTACTCTCCTACACATGTAATCCTACCTCTCCCCTCTCAACTGACTCAATTCCCTGCATACACTCTCCTACCTCTCTCCCTCTCATCTCACTTTACTCTCCTACACACGTAATCCTACCTCTCTCCCCTCTCATCTCACTCTACTCTTTTTCACACACCCTCCTACCTGTCCCGTCTCATCTCACTCTACTCCGCTTCACACTTTCCTACCTCTCTCATCTCACTCGACTCTCCTGCACGCAGCCTATTGCTGTAACAAATTATCTGGTGATGCTGCGTTGGCAGTGGGTGCACAGGCACAAGCAACACAACTCAACACGTTCATCAATAGCAACTCAGTGTGGCCTGTAAAATGAAATATATATAAAAATAGGCGACGTTTCGGGCAATGGCCCTTCTTATTGTGCTATGAAGGAGGGTCATTGCCCAAACCGTTGACTTTAATATATTTATTCTTCTAAGGCCACGCAATGTTACCGACGAATGCGTTGATGTTTCATGTTGTTACGCAGGTTTTTAGTAGAGCATTAGGTGTGCAAACCAAGACCTGCACAGCCCGCACACAACACATTCATCCGGACGATTGCATCACGCGACACCAGCACCAGTGTCGGTGTGGGTTCGTGAGGTCAAAGGTTAGGGTTGGGGTCACAATGGGGGACCGAGGTCAGGAGGTCAGCTGGCTGTGGTGTACGGGGTGGCACCTCAATGCCGGCCGTGCTGAAGAGGCCCAGGGAGCTGGCGATGGTCACCATGTGGCCGTGATTCTTCTCCAACATCGCCGGGAGGAACGCCTTGGTGATCTGAGCACGTTTCAACGTGGAGAAACGGATGGAAGGCAAGGATCTCCCTTGTAGTTAGTCTGACGTGCCACGATGAACGATTGGGGACATTTTTAAGGAATTGAGGGAAATGGTTACCAGCAACAGTTGCCTGCAACGTTTTGTCGCGTGAAAGTATTTTAGGCTGGATAAAATGGGCCTGCTAGGGTCGGAGTGCGATCATTTCGACTGGTGACAGCGGCGCTACCACCGTAACCTCCAAAAGCTTTAACACCACCACCACCTCCAACAGCAGCATCATCACTTTCGTGACCATCACCAACAGCATCCCCATCATTACCACCACTGACACCGCCACTTTCAACCACCCCCAAAATGACCACCAGTCACCACTACCACCCCCACCATCACCACCATCACCGTTCACCATCACCACCTTCGCCACCACCACTGCCACCTCCACCAACACCTCCTCTGCCACCGCAACCTTCACTGCCATGTCCACCACCACCACCGCCACCCCCTCTGCCACTGTAACCTCCACCACCACCACCACCGTTACCATCACCACCTTCGCCACCACCACCGCCACCTCCACCACCACCTCCTCTGCCACCGCAACCTCCACCACCACGACCACCACCGCCACCGCCACCCCCTCTGCCACCGCAACCTCCACCACCACCACCGTGACCATCACCACCTTCGCCGCCACCACTGCCACCTCCACCATCACCTCCTCTGCCACCTGCAACCTCCACCGCCACGTCCACCACCACCTCCGCCACCTCCGCCGCCACTGACCCAGAAGAGGGCGTGCAAGTTGACGGCCATGGTCCTCTCGAGCAGCTCGTCGGGACAGTCGAGCAGCGGGCGCCCCGACACGACGCCCGCGTTGCTCACGAGCAGCGTGACGTCGCCCGCGTCGCGCCGCACCAGGCCCGCCACGCGGTACACGTCGACGCGCTTCGACACGTCGCACGTGTACGCCAGCACGCGCGGGCATGCCACACCGGCGTCTGCTCGCAAACACGAACATCCCCCCCCCCCCCCACCCGGATAGCCTTACGGACTGTTGTGTTGTATATTTTTTTCCGTGTTGTTTTGTGTATGAACCAGAGGTTGCAAACGGGTTTTGATTCCTTACCCGTACCCGTACCCGGCCGCACAAGGGTCGCAAACGGCTACCCGTACCCGTACCCGGCCGGGTACGGGTAGCCAGGTATCGGGTAGGGTACGGGTATCGGGTACCCGGTTGCGACCTCTGGTATGAAACCAGTGGAGTAACTAAACTGAAAGCCGGGACGGTACCATGCCCGAGTGGCGATGTTAACGCACCCACTGATCCGGGTACTCAATTGAGGTTCAGTCGACCTAGGGGAGGCCCAGGACCGACACGCACACTCACCCACATAGTGATACGCTAACAGCCAGACACTCACACACATAGTCACAGTGATACAACAAAGACAAAGATCTCCTGTTGGGGCACCGATGAAGGACGGCACGGCGACACGTGGCGGTGGTGCGGCCACCACCACTCGTCTCACCCTTCCCCACTCACCCTTCCCACTCACTCTTCCCCATTCACCCTTCCCCATTCACCCTTCCCCGCTCACTCTTCCCCACTCACCCTTTCCGCTTACCATACCCAGCCCTCCTCCGCTCCCTCTTCCCCACTCACCCTTCCCCAGTCACCCTTCCCCACTCACCCTTCCCCACTCACCCTTCCCCGTCTCGACCCCGTCCCCGCTCACAATACCACCCGCCACCATAAACCCCTCACCCTCCCGACTCACCTTCCCGCTCACCCTCCCGACTCACACCCTTCCCCGCTCACCATACCCGCTCACCCTCCCGACTCACCCTTCCCCGCTCACCATACCCTGCTCACCATACCCGCTCACCCTTCCCCGCTCACCATACCCGCTCACCCTTCCCGCTCACCATACCCGCTCACCATACCCGCTCACCCTCCCGACTCACCCTTCCCACTCACCCTACCCGGGCCCTGCCCCCGCGCTCACCAGCGGCGGCCCCGCGGGCGAGGGCGGCCGTCTCCTCGTTGCCCTCTCCGTCCACGTCCCAGAGCACGAGCGCGTCCACGCCGCGCGTCGCCAGCTCCAGCGCGAAGAGGCGGCCGAGCCCGCGCGCCGCCCCCGTCACCAGGCACACCTCGTCGCGCACGCTCTTGGGCGCCCGCGGACGCAGCCAGCGCAGGGCGGCGACGGCGAACGACAGCGCCACGCGCGCGCTCACCACCAGCAGCTCCAGCAGCACGTGCATCGCTTGGCCGCCAGCAGCCCGCCCTCCTGCTGCTGCTGCTGCCTGCTGCTGCCGCCTGCAGAACCACACCGCAAAAGTCGCAGCCTGAAACGCAACGCCGCTTCACCGCTTCACCGCTAATCTCGCCGAACTAAACTACAGCCTGTTCTCCTATAACGCGGTAGTTGCGTTCCTGAAGGACGCGGCGTGATGATAAAAAGAATCGCGTTCTAATAAATAGAACATTTAATATAGGGGGTAAAGCACGGTCCGCGATAACACGTGAGATGCGTGTGCAGGCTGAACAAGAACTCAGCGCGCGTGGGTAGCATCTAGAAGCATCCAGCAGTATCCCAATGCCTTGTGCGATGCTACGCCGAGGCAGCCGTACAACCATTGATTCCTATTTGCGCGACGAAGTTATGTTCACTCAATCGCGTTATAGAAACACGCAGCGTTATAGGAGAACAGACTGTTTTTTATTTTACCTGGTAAGGCCCGTTGAGCTATATTTAACTACAAATGATAGCTCAACGAAGTGGCTTATCATTACGTGGAAATGTATAGCAGGCCAAATACTCGAAATGCATGACGGTTGATTCTGAATATGGAGGGGAAAATCGGAGGACCCAGATAAAAAATCCACGCGACCACGGGGAGAGAGACACGCAACCTCCAAACATACAGCAGGCGTCGTCAGGGTAGGGATCGAACCCACGACCAACCAGCATACGGGGCGAGGTAGTTAACATCTCCTAGCCACAGTGGCGTCCCTCACAACACCGTCACAGCACTGGACGTAGCGCCACAGAGACCAACACCAGAGGGCACCACCACCACCAGCAGGAGCGTGCCGTAACAGGCCGAAGCACAACGCCGCATGGCCACGCCACGTGCCGTCGGGCAAAGGGAAAACCTCATCGAGAGCGGAAAAGGGTGACGGACGTGAGAGCAACGGGACGGAGACCGGCGAGGCTGACCCGAGTGAAGAGGTGGTTTTGAAGAGGTGAGCCAGGATGGGAAGAATAACCGTGGACGTGGAAATGATCGGAGATGACAAAACACGAGACCGGACCAGGAAGGCGGAACCGCGCGTGAGTGGGGAAACATGCCAGACAGTTAGAATAAGTGATGAGCAAGGAGTCCCACGAGTGGGATAATTAGTTAATTAATCGACAAAACACTGGACTGCTATGTTGTAGTCGATTACTCGGGCCTCCCGAAGGTGGGAAACCCCCTACAAGCCCCCCCACCACCCCCCCCAAGTTGAATAATTTTCGGGGTAAACTTATCAGACGTGGACCGTGACGCCAGTCACACGACGTCACGAGCACTTTCAGAGAATACAACGGCGTGCAGTATTATACTGGTTATTACACAAACGCAGTATTAACCAGGGCTGCCTTCTCAATACGAACCGCGAACCTCTGCTGCGAGCGGCAAACGTGCTACCGCTGGGTCATGTCACCGTCAATGTTAAGTGCTCAAGTTATACTGGTAGGAACCTCCTGGTTACACCAGCCCACAGGGGATTATTGTGTCCGTCCGTCGTGCAGGGAGGGGCTGGGTGGGGAGAGAGGGAGGGGCTGGGTGGGTGGGTAGGGGCTGGGTATGGAGGGTGGGGCTGGGTGGGGAGGGTGGGGTGGGGTGGGGCTGGGTGGGGAGGGTGGGGTGGGGAGGGTGGGGCTGGATGGGGAGGGTGGGGAGGGGCTGGGTGGGGAGGGTGGGGAGGGGCTGGGTGGGGAGGGTGGGGAGGGGCTGGGTGGGAGGGGTGGGGCTGGGTGGGGAGGGGCTGGGTGGGAGGGGTGGGGCTGGGTGGGGAGGGGCTGGTCACCCCGTGGTGCCCTTATAAAACTCAACGTTTAACCTACTCACGCCGGCTTGTGCCCGCCCTCACAGTCGGGCATATTTGCTGAATACACCACGCCGCCGTTGACCCTGGCCATTGACCGAGCAACCCAACGTTCCTACCAGCTCCCTCCGCAGGAATGTGTTTTACTGAAGCGAACTAGAGAAGCATAGAATAGAATAACGTACAAACTCAACGCATTCATTCGTCCATAGCACCGTGTGTGTGTGCGTGACCTTAAAATAAAAAAATACAATAAGGCGACGTTTCGGGCAATGTCCCGTGACATGGCATTGGTTGTGTTTACGCCCATAAGAGGCACCGCAGCTGTTATAGGATTGACGAAAGATTTGGTTCACACAAATTCCTGCAGATGCTGCTGCTGATGATTATTACAGTACTGTACATCAATGTTGCTGTTCTATTTGATATTTGATACTGAAGATACTGCTGCTGCAGATGCTAATGCTGCTGATATTGCTGCTGCTGCTCTTGGCTACTCTTGCTGCTGATGGCGCTGCTGCTGCACTTGCTACTATTGCTGCTGCTGCAGATGCTAATGCTATTGCAGCTGATGGGGCTGTTCTTGCTACTATTGCTGCTGCACTTGCTACTATTGCTGCTGCTGATTATCTTGCTATTGCTGCTGATACTGCTGCTGCACTTGCGACTACTGCTGCTGCTATTCCTGCTGATGCTGCTGCTGATGCTGCTGCTGATGATGATACTGATGCTGCTGCTGATGATGATGCTGCTGATGCTGATGATGCTGATGATGATGATGCTGCTGATGATGCTGCTGATGCTGCTGCTGCTGATGATGCTGATGATGCTGCTGATGCTGATGCTGCTGCTGATGATGATTATGCTGCTGCTGATGATGATGATGCTGCTGATGCTGCTGCTGCTGCTGCTGATGATGATGATGCTGCTGATGCTGCTGCTGCTGCTGATGATGATGATGCTGCTCTGCACCAAAGCACTAAATAGCAATGGTAAATGTTTTACTGCTTAAGTCCAAAGGCTCTGGTCTACACGGCGATGATGGTACTACACTCCGTAACACAACTTGTGGCTGCGATTATAATCATGACGATTTCGTTCGATATCTCTGCAAATCCACGGCGGTGTGTGAACGATGACATCATTCCGTGTAGCTGCCCCCCTAACGGCGTGTATCTTTGAAAGCATTAGAAGCTGCACTTTTGGTGGCGTTTGTTTAATCAGCGAGGCGGGCAGAAGTTCAAGTTCATGTATTAGGTATAGCCCTGTGAGGGATTCGGCTCTTGAATCGGGTGCAACCGCAACAAACAAAAAACAAAAACATGAACAAGAAAACATCTTAAAGTGACTACGTGACTAAGTGCAAACAGAAAATCCAAGAAAAGACAGCAAAATATTGCAGGAAAAACACCGTACACCAACGCTGTGTGCAAAAATCCCAGTGGGATGCAAGTCAAACAACAACAACCACAAGACAACTTAGATTAAGCCGTCCTTAGCGTGTGATGGTGGAGACGGCGTATGTGGTGTGATATTGTTGGTAGTGGTGGTGATGATGATGCGGTGGTGGTGGTGGTGGTGATGATGCGGTGGTGGTGGTGTTGGTGGTGATGATGTGGTGGTGGTGGTGGCGATGTTGTTGGTGGTGGTGGTGGTGTTGGTGGTGATGATGTGGTGGTGGTGTTGGTGGTGATGATGTGGTGGTGGTGATGTGGTGATGATGTGGTGGTGGTGGTGGCGATGTTGTTGGTGGTGATGGTGATGATGTGGTGGTGGTGGTGATGATGTTGTTGGTGGTGGTATTGGTGGTTAAGATGATGATGTGGTGGTGGTGGTGATGTGGTGGTGATGATGATGTGGTGGTGGTATTGGTGGTGGTGGTGATGATGTGGTGGTGGTGATGATGTGGTGGTGGTCATGATGTGGTGGTGGTCATGATGTGGTGGTGGTCATGATGTGGTGGTGGTCATGATGTGGTGGTGGTCATGATGTGGTGGTGGTCATGATGTGGTGGTGGTGTTGGTGATGAGGTGATGATAGTGATGTCAATGATGTGGTGGTGGTGATGATGTGGTGGTGGTGTTGGTGGTGGTGATCATGATGTGGTGGTGGTGTTGGTGGTGGTGGTGATGATGTGGTGGTGGTGATGATGTGGTGGTGGTGGTGTTGGTGGTGATGATGATGTGGTGGTGTTGGTGGTGGTGATGATGTGGTGGTGGTGGTGATGATGAAGATGTGGTGGTGGTGGTGATGATGAAGATGATGTGGTGGTGGTGGTGGTGATGATGTGGTGGTGGTGATGATGTGGTGGTGGTGTTGGTGGTGGTGATGATGTGGTGGTGATGTGGTGGTGGTGATGATGATGTGGTGGTGTTGGTGGTGGTGTTGGTGGTGGTGGTGATGATGTGGTGGTGGTGGTGATGATGAAGATGTGGTGGTGGTGGTGATGATGAAGATTATGTGGTGGTGGTGGTGGTGGTGATGATGTGGTGGTGGTGATGATGTGGTGGTGCTGGTGGTGGTGATGATGTGGTGGTGGTGATGATGTGGTGGTGGTGGTGTTGGTGGTGGTGATGATGTGGTGGTGGTGTTGGTGGTGGTGATGATGTGGTGGTGGTGGTGATGATGAAGATGATGTGGTGGTGGTGATGATGAAGATGATGTGGTGGTGGTGGTGATGATGAAGATGATGTGGTGGTGGTGATGATGAAGATGATGTAGTGGTGGTGGTGATGATGAAGATGATGTGGTGGTGGTGATGATGAAGTGGTGGTGATGTGGTGGTGATGATGATGATGTGGTGGTGATGATGTGGTGGTGGTGATGATGATGAAGATGATGTGGTGGTGGTGGTGGTGGTGGTGGTGATGATGAAGATGATGTGGTGGTGGTGGTGATGAGGTGATGATGGTGATGATGGTGGTGGTGATGATGAAGATGATGTGGTGGTGGTGATGATGAAGTGGTGGTGATGATGATGTGGTGGTGATGATGATGTGGTGGTGATGATGATGTGGTGGTGATGATGATGTGGTGGTGATGATGATGTGGTGGTGGTGATGATGAAGATGATGTGGTGGTGGTGGTGATGATGATGGTGATGATGGTGGTGGTGATGATGAAGATAATGTGGTGGTGGTGATGATGATGTGGTGGTGATGATGATGTGGTAGTGATGATGATGTGGTGGTGGTGGTGATGATGATGTGGTGGTGATGATGTGGTGGTGGTGATGTGGTGGTGGTGATGATGATGATGTGGTGGTGGTGATGATGTGGTGGTGGTGATGTGATGGTGGTGGTGATGTGGTGGTGATGATGTTGTTGTTGGTGGTGATGATGTTGTTGGTGGTGGTGATGTGATGGTGGTGATGTGGTGGTGATGATGTGGTGGTGATGATGATGATGTGGTGATGATGATGATGATGTGGTGATGATGATGATGTGGTGGTGGTGGTGATGATGATGATGTTGTTGTGGTGGTGGTGAAGACGATGTTGTTTCTGCTAAAATTGAGGCCGCTATCGAGAATACCATTGCTGCTGCTATTGCAAGTGCAATAGTTGCTGCTGTTGTTGTTAATATCGATTATGTAGCTGCTGATCAAGCTGATCAAGCCGATGTTGCTATTGCTGCTACTGCTGGTGATGATGATGATGATGGTGAATCGATTTTGCTGTTGCTACTTACTGCTGCTCACGCTGTTGCCGCTGCTGATGATAACGAAGTTGCTGATGTTGCTGTTGTTGATGTTGTTGCTGTTACTACTTCTGTTGTTGCTGTTGCATCTGATCAGGATTTGCCATTGCTGATCGATGTAACGACTGCCAATGCTGCTGCTGATGTTGTTGTTATTCCTGATGTTGCTGCTGATGCTGCCTGAACTAGTATTGGTGATGTCTTCGTAATCGAATACATGTACGGTAGTCAAACTAGTTATAATACTGCTGCTGATGACAATGAAAGTTTTTAAAATTACGAGTTTGATGTACGCGTGAGTTTATTTGCTCTTCTCCGTTGCACTGCGTATCATTTTATGATTTTTACATATTTTTTTATTGACGTTAAAATAACAACTTTTACTTTGTTTAGTCCGCTCCAGCTATGGGTGGCACCGATCGGACTTTAAACGCCTGCAGATCGATTCCCAATCATCTGTTTTCTTACGTGGACCGATTCCCAGTCTGAGCGAATGAGAATCACGAAGCGTGGGAGAATCGCTAAGCCAATCGGGTTCTAGTCTGAGCCAACGGGGAATCGATTAACGATTTATGTTTTTATAGAGACCAGGAAGGAATCGATTCCCGTGGCTTTGCACAAAAAAGACGGCAAAAACCTTACCACAACAACGAAAATTTTTCACGACTCTCAACCAACGGAATAGAAATCAAATAAAGTAGAAACATAAATAAATTGCATGGGGTTTGTGTAAAAAAAAATTGTAATTAAGCAAAGCCACCGAGCGGCATGGGCCATCTTACTAAGGGCAACTCATTGAATTGGACGGCGAACGATCCCTTGATAAGATGGCCGCCCACAATGCACGACGCGCGCGCGCATATCACAATGACGTCACAAGCCGAAATTCGTGTCGTCATTCCCTCCACCATCCGGCCAAATCATAACTCCTGTATCCCATACTCTTTGGTTCTTTCGGTAAAGTCACGTAGGTAGAAAAAAATTAATAGATCACGACGTTTCGATCGCAACACAAGCAATCGTCATCAGGTGGGACAACCACAGCAAAGAAAAAACTGCTGAAGTATCCCCTTGGGCTATACCCATTTCAAACCTTTAACACATTCCTGCGGAGGGAGCTGGTAGGAACGTTGGGTTGCTCGGTCAATGGCCAGGGTCAACAGCGGCGTGGTGTATTCCGCAAATATGCCCGACTGTGAGGGTGGGCACAAGCCGGCGTGAGTAGGTTAAACGTTGAGTTTTATAAGGGCACCACGGGGTGACCAGCCCCTCCCCACCCAGCCCCACCCTCCCCACCCAGCCCCTCCCAACCCTCCCCTCCCCACCCTCCCCACTCAGCCCCTCCCCACCCAGCCCCTCCCCACCCTCCACTCCCCACCCAGCCCCTCTCCACCCTCCCCACCCTCCCCTCTCCACCCAGCCCCACCCCTCCCATTTTTGGATTCACGACGGACGGACGGACACAATAATCCCCTGTGGGCTGGTGTAACCAGGTGGTTCCTACCAGTATAAGTTAACACCTCTGTGGGCTTTGTCTGGTAAGATGGGGATGGTTTAGTTTAATGTGTTTGGGTGATTTGTTTACCTTTCGTGTACTTTGCACTGCTATCATGTTTTGTATCGTTTGTTGTAACATTCTTACCCCGTGCCCCGACTGGACATCTGATAAAAAAAAGTTATATTTAATTTTGTTTAAAAACACGCTTTAATGAAATGTACCGTACTAGTAATGGAAGAACTCCACGACTCCAGTAATTGGCCCCGAAGCTTGCCATAAAGTTAGGGACCGTGGTCAATTACAGCCAACGTCAGTTGAGCGTGGACAATTAGACCCAAGCCGTAACATAACATATAAAAAATAATGTTTTAAAATATGTTTTATTTTATTTTTTATGACAGAATATAGTATTGTCATCAGTATGACATAAGTATACCAAGTTTGCAGTCGATACCACATTGGGAAGTGGGTAAAAATTGAGTGACAAGATTTGAGGATACAACAACAACAGAGTGAGTTAAATAAAAGCGTGTAATAAAATCGCTTTATAGCTCTTCGGATTCCTCCAGTATAAATACATATTAACACGTGGGCTTTCGCGACCCAAAAACCTTTATTACGAATAAATTAATATTCTTCTGATTCCGAGACGATTCATATTTTTAAATCCTTTATATTAAGTTCGCGTGCTTGCTTGCTTGCTTAGGACCGTGCAAATCTTTCGGTCGTTTTTTAACCCACTTCCCGTGATCCAATCGAGCTGACATTTTCCACACAGACTCGTTGTGTGTGACAATTAATTTTCGTGAAAAAAAATCAAAAATTTTACACTGTTTAGGGAAAACAAATTAAATATTTAATTACCAATTACTTAATGGTGGCAGACAATCATCTGACCCATAGGTGGCAGCCATCTCAAGCCAGAGGACGAGAGGACTCTAGCCGCCACGCATATAAAGGATTTATAGTGAAAAACTTTGTTTTTACTGGTTATACTTATTTACACTCTGTTTTAGAGTTCGTTACAGTACCCAATGAAGGGTGTGAGCCGAAACGTCGAACGGGTGGTGGGGGGAGTTTGACGACAATAATTTAGGAATAATACGTTATTTTATATTCTTCACAACGACGCGAATCATTACATTTGAGTTACTTAACATAATTATCGATATAAAATTAACGCAATTTATTTAAATTCATGGGAAAATTATTCTGAGGGTGACGTCACGCAACCCCGCTTATCCGAGCTAGCATTTTGCAACACCCTTCTCCAAATTTGCCGGCATCCGATTGGTTAAGAATCGCATCACGTGCGTGCTCAGCCTGCAGCCGATTGGTCAAGGTGGTCGGTCGGCGTGGGCCTATATAAGGAGGGGGGCGGTCGTCTCCTCGCCTCAGTCGCCTTGAGATCGTCAACTTGCAAGTCGTCGTTCTCGCTCACGGTGAGTTGCGGTTACTTTGACCGCCTTCTTTGTTTAAATCAATATACTGTAATTGTTTAAGATGTTACCCGCCTGAATCGTTGATTTTTGACGCGTCGCGCGGTTTAAATTGGAGCGCAGAGCCTTGAACATTTGAGGTCAACTTTGACCCAGTTTTTTTATTTGGCGCAGCTAAGCTCAAATGACCTCTCACCCACTTCTGACATTATAACAACAACAGGCATAATAGCGGATATAATAGTGACGCAGTTATTTTAAAGTAACATTACAGCTATACATTCAGTTGTTTTTCTGAAGCGTAAGTTGGAGGTGCATTGCTGAAGGTTTTTTTTATCATATCGGGCCCTGTCGATCAGCGGTGTTCACCGAGCCAATCATCGTCTATCCTTCCGGGTTTCGATATAAAATTAGTACCACTTTGCCGGGGGAAGGCAACACTGGTTATCCGATCGCTGGGATCTTCTCCCACCAGCATAGGAACGTGGAATTGCCACCACTGGCTGTGCAGCGCTGTTAAACGGGAGATATTAATCAATGCCTCAATTGCTGCTCATTAGATCAGCAGATCACTTTGACTGGCTCGGAGAGAGGGCTTCATCCAGCAGTGGATTGTTCATAGCTGATGATGTGACCCCCCCCCCCCCCTGTACTGCTGAAGACTTAGCCTCTCCTTAGTAAAATCAAAACATGTTTATAATAATGATGATACTGGTGGTGATGGTAGTAATACCTTGCGATGATGGTTCTTGTGATAGTGGTGGGAGTAAGTATGATAATGGTGCTGGTGGTAATATTGATGGTGGATTATGAAGGCGATTGTGATGCTACTAATTGTAATGACGATGGTGGTAATAACGACGGTGGTGTTGGTGGTGGTAGCAATGATTATGGCGGTGGGGATTACGTTGATGGTAATAATGAAAGTGATGATGACGATAATGGTGATAGTGGTGATGGTAGAAAGTGATGGTAGTGGTGATGATGCTGGTCATAATGAAAGTGGTGATGGTGGTGCTTATAGTAATGGAGGTGATGATGGTAATGATAGTGATAATTACGATGGCAAGATACGATATGTTGCTAAGTTATTTCCTGCACGCGTGTCTGTAGGACCCATATGTTTGTATTGTAATGAGTGGGGGGTCTATTATAAGGGACCCAATGGCGCTTGGCAATGAATGAGCCGACCGCTCAATGGCATTTTTAAAAACTCTATTTTTAACCCAGTTGATAGCCGAGTAACCCGAGTTGGATTATGTACTTGTATGTACATTGAACTTCTTTCGCACTGTACATAGTCAACCGTGGTAATCGGAGGTGGAGGCAAGGACAAACTTAACAGAAAAAGGCAGTTTAACACGTAAGACTTTCACGACTAATATCCATGATACAGGTTTTTTCGTGTCGTTAAACCCTCCACCACCCAAAACAGCCAATTAGTAAGGTTTGTCACGTAAACAGAACATGCCAATTCGTTACTAGTACAGCACTAACCGGTGTGGTGGAGAGCCAAGCCACAACATTTACAACCTGAGTACGATGCTTCGCCAGTAATTACAACTAGCTTCATCAGGCGACAGCCAGATTTGGCTGTCGGTGGCGAGTTTAACGACATATTTACGTGATCTAACCCAACAAAACCTGAATTATGGAGAAAAAAGCAGTTCTGAAGAAATGAATATCGGAAGGAAGAGGGGTGACAGACGGCCCCAGAAGTGCATCAGAAAGCCCCGGGGGACACCGGTAAACACCGTCTTTGTTCGATGGCTATCAGTCAAAGGCCGCTGCGAGGAAGACCGGAGTTCGCGTGATGGTTTATTTAACTGCGTTGAAGAACCCTGCCAGTTTTCTCCGATTTCACCACGGGTGAGAGAATCTAGAGATCTTTTTTAAAACCCATTTGGGAGCTTAATTAAGTTCTGTTTTTAACCAGATGAGAACCCACTGAGAGATGCATTACAATCTTCATTTTACCACATTGAGAATTTAGTTGAGATCTGGTCTCTCTAACCTGAGTGAAAGCCTTTTGACATTTTTTAAAGCCTATTTATAATCCAGGTGAGAGTCTCTCGTTGAATAACCAGATGGGAACCAGTTAAAGTGCACCAAATCTCATTGACCACTTTGAGAACCCCAGAAAGGTCTGGGTCTCTTCCCTCTCAACTGGCCATGGGAGCTCATTGAGATTTACGATCTGTCAACCGCCAGGTGGCGCTGTGGTCAAAGCACTTGACTCTTTATCAGGGCAACCAACGTCCATCAACCGCACGTCATGGAAAGGCACTCATCCAGCAGTGAATTTACAAATAGGGTTGTACGTGTAAATGGGTTGAAATCCCTTCCTCATCATCCTCCTTTGGGGTCTTTCAAATGAGTAGCATTTTCATTTTGGGCAGTCACCAGCAGTTGTCCTTTCCTTTTTAAACATCGTGGCCGAGCTCCGACCCAGAACGTTGAGTGGCCAGTAACAAACAGCACTGTCAATATTGGAATAGACGAGAGCGAACACGTTTATTGAATTGAGCAAGGTTAAAAGAATTTTGGAAAAGACACTTTGCGACGGAAATCCAAAGTGGAGCCGTGCGAGGGTTAAAAGCAGAAAGAGAAGTGTGTTTGCCTGCACTGTGGTCAGTCTGTGTGTCCTGTCTGTGTGTCCTGTCTGTGTGTCCTGTCTGTGTGTCCTGTCTGTGTGTCCTGTCTGTGTCCTGTCTGTGTCTCTTTGTGCAGAAGATGTCTCGGCTGATGGCGTCCTCACTCCGGTGTCTGCCCCAGGGCTGGGCCTCCACCTCCCGACTCGGTGAGGAGGTTTTAGACGTTAAAAGGAAGTTGCAACTATGAGCGAGGGAAGAAAAATCATGCATGTGTAATGCGGGCGTAAACGACCTTCCGGATGTGACGTCATGGGGGGGAGGAGTTACGTCACGTGGGGGTAAGGGTTCAGGTATTAAAGGGGTGAAACCGGAAGAGGAGGGGAGTGACTGGAGACTGGGCTAGTGTGAGGCCACGTAGGGCGAAGGCAGGAGGAGTGGCGAGATCGCCACACACACAGAGTACGGTCGGCACCGTCGGCCAGCGGTGACCGACCCCGAGGAAACGGGGAGCTGCGGTGAGACCGCAGCAAGGGCGGCCGGGGAGGCTGCACGGAGAGAGGGGCTGCTTTGGAGGAGAGAGAGACAGCAGCGGTGGGGCTGCGTCAAGGAGAGCCGGAAGGCTGCACGCAGAGAACAGCAGCGGAGCTGCGGTGGGGACGGGAGAAGGCTACAGCAGCGACAGCAGCGTCAGCAGCGGAGCGGAGGGTCTCTGGTAGAGAGCCGTGTGGGGAAGAGAACATGAACCCGAATAAAGGACACCAAGCCAGATACCGTGGTCGAGTCCTTTATTACACATGGATTCTGTAAAGTCTCTCTCACACACACACAAACACGCCAGATTAATGCTGCGTCGTGGTGTGTCGCCGTTTGCGCTCTCCGCGGTTAGGTGCAGGCGGTGCCCGGGCCCTGGGCTCCTCCTGCGCCGTTCTTGCGCCGGCGAAGAGCAAGCAGAGCCTGTCCCGTCCCGGCGTCAAGAACGTGGTGCTCGTGGATGGCGTGCGCACGCCATTCCTGATGTCGGGCACCTCGTACGTGAGCCTCCCCTCCCTCCTTCCCCTCGACGTGCATTGAGCTTATTTTGACGAGGTATTCGGTGCTCACTGATTGTTGTGCGGAGAGGTATGGCGTGCTTTGGAATGGTGCTGTGTACGGTGGTCGGTATGTGTGTGGTTCAGGTGTGGTTCAGGTGGGGTATAGTGGAGGCGAATGCGTTTGGTGTGTGTCTGTTCTCGGTGGAGTTTTGGTTATACGTATGTGAGCACGTTGAACTTCTTTCACACCGTACGTAGCCAACCGTGCTAATCGTTGATGTGCGTCGCGGTGTTCTGTGTGCTGTTGTGCAGTGTATTTCAGCACAGTGGTCTGGTTTGTCATACGTTTCCGTGGGAGAGTGGATACAAAATGAATAAAACGAATAGCCATGCTTGCATTTTTCTATTGTGCCCATAACGAAACGTCTCGGTGTGCATGTTTTTTATTAGCCGAGGGCACCCCCTGGTTGGCAGCTGTCCCTGTGTGGCACAAGGCAACTGGGCACCTGCCCTGCAAGTGGGAATATAATCTGCGAGTAGGAGGCTATGTTGCTGTAATTTCTATTGCTCAGTTGGGGTTACAGATCGCAATCAGCCTGGATAGGTGTCTCTTGCAGATGAAGGGGATTGTGCATGACAGGTGTTTTTTAAGATAATTCCTGTGTGTGTGTGTGTCATTGTGCAGGTACAATGACATGATGCCCCATGACCTGGCACGCGGAGCTTTACAGTGAGTGTCCATTTATCCTGATGACACTGCCCTATTCATTCAGCTTGCTTTGTAATTGTCCATGCCTCTGAATTTAAGGATATCTGTGCAGCACGTTACAAATGTTTCTTTTGTATGATTGCTACCTCCTGCCGTGATCAACGATGGGGAGCGTGTGCGGTGGGGAGGTTTCTCTTCATCTGGTGGCAAAAGACGGTAACCTCTGCATGCATGCATGTATCCGCTACGCAGGGGACTACTTTCGCGCACCGGTTTGCCCACGGATGCCGTGGACTACATTGTGCTCGGCACCGTGATACAGGAGGTGAAAACGAGCAATGTGGCTCGCGAGGTGAGCGTAACCCTCCACCACTGAGACGAAGTCAATAACTGTTTACTCTCTTTTGGTTGCCAAGGTAGTTGTGTGCAAAGTCGCATATCTGATTGTCACTTATCTGCCCTGACCAGTTATCTGCCCACACGCATTTGCGTCTTTTTTTTGTATAATCGAAATTCACAAATCCGCACCTCTGCTTCAGTCCCCAGCGAGTGGTAGACGCAAAATTGTTGTTGTTCTGTGATTCATTTTGTTTTTGTGATGTGCTGTGTTGATGCAGGCTGCTCTTGGAGCTGGGTTTTCTGACAGGATCCCTGCACACACGGTAACCATGGCCTGCATCTCGTCAAATCAAGCCATGACTACGGGTTCGTGTGGATGTATACATGGGCACACACGAACAATTATTATAAGATAATTGGTTTTTTACCCTTTTATCTGGCAACAAACTGACACCTTTTTTTACAAGGAGTCATGTTTACATAGACCACAATACCTGCAGTCGTAATGCAAACAAAAAACACAACTCTGATAATGTATGCACTGTCCTTGAAGTTGATTGGTCCACACCCGAGACAGCTTTCCTTAGAGCCTAGTCTCACATGGTGTTGGACCAGATGACGTCAAAAGGCGCTCTTATTATTACTACTACGTAAATTATTATGCTTATTTACCCAGGAAAACGTCACTGAGCTTCGTGATTCTTTTTTAGGCAGGTGCTGCCAACTTTTCGCAGTAGGGGCCGATGATTGCCGTGTTTAATGTGAAATTTGCGGTTTATTTTTTTTTCTTCTTTAAAATCTCGACCGACCGTGACACCGGCGTACAATGGCCCAACCCCCGCTCATGCGAATTATGTTGTGGGATATTTAATGTCCACCGTGAAGCAAACGGCACGTAGTGTGTTAAGTATTATATTCTTGGTTCTTTCGGTAAAGTCACGTAGATAGAAAATAAAATAAAAAATAATTAAAAATTTTATTATAATAAATTGAAAGTAATCGGCGACCGCTTGATCCTCGTCAACAAGCGGTGAATGCGCCACCACTATGTCAAAACCCTTTTAAAAAAGACGTGTGTGTGGGGAGCAGTGGTGTAGTGGTTAGCGCACTGCGCTATGAACCTGGAGACCCAAGTTCGATTCCCGTTCACGGCCAACACCAGTGACGATTATCTGAACCAGTCCTGGGCCTCCACCTAGGTCGACTCGGCCTGAAATGAGTACCTGGTGCAATGTGTAAACATCGCCACAAGGGAGACAAAGGCGGCCGGGCATTGTGCTGGCCACCCACCTCCTCGTGTGCCGTTCCGGCCTTCATAGGTGCTCGCTAACAGCACTTGCCTCAAGAGTCTGTTATGGCTATACGGGAGTTCTTTGTCTTGTGTGTGAATGTATGTGTGTGTGCAGGCTTTGGGTTGATAGCGGCGGGCCAGTGCGACGTGGTGGTGGCCGGGGGAGTGGAGTTCATGTCGGACGTGCCCATCCGGCACAGCCGCAAGATGCGCAAGACCCTGCTGTCTCTCAACAAGGCCAAGACGGTGGGGCAGCGCCTGGCGTTGGCGGCCTCGCTGCGCCTGGCGCACTTCGTGCCAGAGGTGAGGACCCCTTTGATCGCTGGATTTTTTACGCGCTTTTATTTAACTCACTGTTGTTGTTGTCGTATCCTCAAATCTTGTAACTCAATTTTAACCCACTTCCCAATGTAGTATCGATTGCAAACTTGGTATACTTATGTCATACTGATGACAATACTATATTCTATCATAAAAAAGAAAATAAAACATTTTAAACCATCTTTTTATATGTTGTGTTTCGGCTTGGGTCTAATTGTCCACGCTCAACTGACGTTGGCTGTAAATCACCACGGCCCCTTGCGTTATGGCAAGCTTTGCAGCCACTTCCTGGAGTCGTGGAGTTCTGCCATTACTCGTACGGTACATTTTATTAAAGCGTGTTTTTAAAAAAGTTTTTCTAAATATTACTTATTTCATCGCCAAGTTGTCAAGTCGAGTCTTTTGTTCATGCAGCAGCGTCGTTTGTGCAGCGGCCGCATCGCACAATACGGAGGCGCCTGTAGATTGAGATGTTCTCAGCCACTTGGTGGGTGTTTATATAAATCAACGGCACGGACCCAGGTGAAATGGGTTAATTAATTGAGGTGATTGAATGATGTATACCTTTGCCGTACACTCTGCATATTTTGCACACACATGTACATGCGTGTGTGCGCGCGTGGTTACTGCACTGCAATACAAACCCGGTGGTCCCAGTTCGTTTCCCGCTCACAACCAATAAGTGACGGTGAATATTTGCACCAGTCTTCTCCTAGGTCGACTCTGCTTTAAATTAATACATACAATAAATACAATTACAATTCCTTATAAGGGCAACAAATACCAATGAATAACAATTGAATGATTACCAATCTATATAATTACAATACCCCCCCCCCCCTCCTTGCCTGAGGCTGCTCTATTTAAGAACGGAAGCAACAGGAGAGCTTCACCATTCTTGCCTGATGAAGCTGATTGTAATTATCAGCGAAACGTCGTACTACTCAAAATTTAAATGTTGATTCTCTCTACAGCACACCGGTGGGCTAAAGAAGTGAATTATTTTGTCCTTTGAAAACGTGACACATTTTTTACTGTTTGGCCGTGTCGGGTGGTGGAGGGTTACGACACATTTATAATTAACGCGATCTGACCCAAAAACCTATATTATGAATACATACCTGGTTCGGTGTGTAATCGTCCCTGCGGAAAACAAAGGCGGCAACCGGGCGTGTTGCAGGCTTGCAGGCTACCCCAGCTAACAGCACTTGGGCCTACAGTCGGTTAAAGGCTACACGGGGGATCTTTTTGCATGTGTGTGTGTGTGCGTGTGTGTGCCTGTGTGTGTGTGTGCGTGTGTGTGTGCGTGTGCGTGCGTGTGTGCTTCCGTGCATGTGCAGCTGCCGGCCGTGGCCGAGTTCTCGACGAGCGAAACGATGGGCCACTCGGCGGACCGCCTGGCGGCGGCGTTCGGCGTGTCGCGTGCCGAACAGGACGAGTTTGCGCTGCGCTCGCACTCGTTCGCCAAGAAGGCGCAGGAGCAGGGGCTGCTGTCCGACCTCGTGCCCCTCAAGGTGCCAGGTGAGGGGGAGGGGAGGGGAAGAGGGAGGGGGAAGGTCTGTCGGAACGCCACCCCTGACGGGATATAAACACACGCACCCAGAATTCCACCACCACCACTCTGTCGTGGCTGTCCTAACCCTCTTCCACTGGCACATCCGAGCCAAGCCGATGTGTGTGGTATCCTCGCGGTACGGGTGGTTTTCCACTGACTCTTTGCCGGGCTGAGCCAAAACCAATCTGAGATGCGCGGGCTTCTCAAAATATAAAAATCTGGCTGGAGGGGCTAATGACGAGTAAGATCGTGTGTGACTTCAATTTAAAGCTTTCGTGATTCATCTTCTTGGTTCTTTCGGTAAAGTCACGTAGAATGGAAATAATAAAATAATAGAAATAAAACATTATAAAATAAAGGTCTGTTCTTCACCTGAGGACGGCTGCTTGCGTTGTGGCCGAAACGTCGTGAGAATAATTGTATTATGTTTTATTTTTATTATTTTATTATTTCCATTCTACGTGACTTTACCGAAAGAACCAAGAAGATTGTGTGTGACGTCTGTCCTGTGGGCGCCGTTACCGAGCCGTCTCCCGGCGTCCTCGTGTTTGTTGGGTGTGACGGCAGCGGGCACGGCTCGTCTTGCGCAGTAAAAAAAAACAAGAACTCGTATCATCTACGGATCATTACGGGCATGGTGCTGATGTGCCGGTGAAAAGGAATGCAAAAGCCACTCGTGGTTTAACTACCTCACCTGGTATGCAGGAGGTCGTGAGTTCGATTTTGACCCTGACGCCTGCTGCTGTATATTTGGAGTCTGCATGTTCTCTCTCCCTGTGGTCGCTTGAATTTTTTTCCAGGGTCCTCCAGTTTTTTTTCTCATTTAGAAACATGCTTTTAGTAGAGCATTTGGCTGCTATAAATGTTCATGTGATAAGCCACTTCGTTGAGCGCTCGTTTGTGGCCAGGTCGCTTCTGAAAAAGAGCTATATAGCTCGTGGTAAAATAAAAAATAGTTTAGTTCATAAGCCAGGGTCGGGAGTTGATCGTATTTCACCGTTGACCCTTGGAACTACGGGAAGGGGACGCGGGTGCATGGGGGGGGTGGGGATACCACCAGCTTGGAAACGCGCGAGGTGCAAGTCGCGCCGTCACTTCGTGCGTCCGCAGGGAAGGACACGGTGACGAAGGACAACGGCATCCGCCCCAGCAGCATGGAGCAGTTGGCGCGACTCAAGCCGGCCTTCATCAAGCCGCACGGCACCGTCACGGCCGCCAACTCCTCCTTCCTGGTGCCGGCTCTCGTCTCTTCCTCTCCCCCACCCAACGTGTCCTCAAACCACCACCACCCACCCACCTGCTCCCCCACTCACCCAACAGCCTGTCTTAAGGCTGTGTAATTGACTTGGTCATTCTATGCTCGATTTTGGTTCACTCGCAACCATTGTTAACCAAAGTATACAAATAAAAACCCACTTTGCTGATTGTTATTTTCATCGTAAATCTCGTTAACAAAATAAACATTGTCCCACTCTCCCCCCCCCCTTATTCTCTCCCTCCTCGCAGTGACATCCCATCTCTGTCCTGTCCTCGGCAAAGCATCAGTTGAATTTCCACTGCTGATTTGTCTGACTTTGTTGTGGCAGTGTTGTAGAAGGCCTGGCTAACATCGGGGGTGTGTGTGTGTGTGCGTGGCTGATTGCAGACTGACGGAGCGTCGGCTGTGCTCATCATGTCTGAAGAGAAGGCTCTCGCCATGGGATACAAACCCAAGGCCTACCTTCGGTACGGTGCAAGTCAGGGTTTGACTCCTAGACAGGATGTCTGTCTTTTGTGGGGAGGTGGGGGGTTATGTCAGTGTTTGAGACGGTGAGTAAATCTGAGTTTCAAACCCTGAAAGTGGATGGGCTTGGATTTTGAAACCTTTCCCATTCAGAGACGTCTGCAAGTTGCAGGGCGGGTCCCGTTGCAGGGCGGGTCACTGCTGAATCTCGGAACTCGCAAACGGTCATGGCGCCGTTGTTTTTAAAGACATTGTACTCCCCACAGAAAACTGTAGCGACATTACCACACTGACACCTTTTTGCTGCCAGATAAAAGGGTAAAAAAAAAAACAATTATCATATTTTGTTCCTGGCAAATGAGGTTCGAATGGTGACATTACCACACTCGATAGCTGGCGCCACGCTGTGCCACATGCCGTCCTGCATGGCCTTGTGGGAGCCTCGGTATATCCTCCAACCTGAAGGCGTACCGATAAAGTTATTTTTCTCTTGCGTCATCGGAATGGGAAAGGGTTAATATGGGACCAGATCATTGAGCGAGCAACTTGGATTCCTAGGTTCAAGTCCCGGGTGTCTTTCACTTGTACATATACAGGCCCTATTTTTTTTAATCCACAGCTGGATGAGGGTCTTGATACACCCCATACAGGTCTTGAGGGGGGGATATTTGTCCATACTTTCATTATGCTGGTTGGTGAAGGGATGGGTCCACGACCGTTTCATGTATCGCTCGCCACTGATGTTAGCTGTGACCAGGAATAAAACTCATTGCACTAACCACTGCACCACCACTCCCCGCCGCCCCACAGATAATAGTTGTAATAATGCTTCGATTATATTTCTCTGCAGGGACTTTGTGTACGTCTCTCAAGACCCGAAGGACCAGCTGCTGTTGGGGTACGTATCGGGTGACGGTGGTGGCGACACATGTGCCTGCCTGTGTAACCCAGCGCTGTGTGGAGGCGGGCAGCCACGGATTGGTGGATCGCCGCGCACATGTTGCAAAACTCCCTTCCCGTGGGCGTCTGGGAGGAACCATACCCTGGCTCGACAGAAGAAGGCGGTTCGGCAAAGTGCAGACTAATATCTGTCCTATCTGTATAGGATAGTGTTGCCCCCCTCGCACGTGTGAGTTTTCTCCAAGGTCCTGCGGTTTCCTCCCTCAAATATCAACACTCGTTGGCTGAAAACATTTTTGTGTTTGCGTGCGCCTCTGTTTTGCAGATTACACTGGCATTATGCAATGAAGTGACGTAAAAATGACACTTATCTTTACAAACTTTAACATTATTACCTCCACTGCGCAGTAGGGATGGTACAGGCGGATGTCGCAGGAGGTGAACACGGAGGCAAAAACACCCGAGTCCACGGGACAGCTGAGATGGGCTCAAAAATCTGGCTTTCTTTTTCGTGCAAGATGTAATTGTAAATTTTTACATGAGTGTTCACAAATCTGAGCTCTCGACGTGCACGGTTGTTTGTTATCAATCTCGCACGCCGTGCGCTCGCTTCTAACGCACAGTGAAGTGGCGTGTACCTGCCCGTGTTTAGGGGCAGCTCACGATATTATTTTTGTCCAGTCACCCCCTTCAGACGCACTTTGCAACTGTCATTTTCCATTGGTGTTCACACATCCGACCTTCGTGCATATCCGCCTTTGGTCGAGTCCCTACCCTCGACCCTCTCCGAGACGCCATTCACAAGGGCCGTGCTGTGTGCGTGCTGTGTGCGTGCTGTGTGCGTGCTGTGTGCGTGCTGTGTGCGTGCGTGCTGTGTGCGTGCTGCGTGCGTGCGTGCTGTGTGCGTGCGTGCTGTGTGCTGCTCATCACGCAGGCCATCCTACGCCACCGCGCGTCTTCTGGCCAAGTCCGGGCTCTCCCTCGGCGACATCGACGTGTTTGAATTCCACGAGGCGTTCGCTGTGCGTGATGCACGCATGCGCACACATGCACGCATGCGCACGCATGCGCACACATGCACGCATGCGCACACATGCACGCATGCGCACGCATGCGCACACATGCAGGCATGCGCACACATGCGCACACATACGCACACACACATACACACGTATATGCATATACACATGTGCACACATACACACGCATGCATACGCACGCACATGTACACACAGATACATATGTCCATGCATGCACATGTATGCATACGCACACACACATACGCACGCATACGACAGCCACCACTAATTGGCAGTGACGTCATCACAGCGCTTGTGCCAGACACACCCATACGCACACATGCATACCACGCACACGTACACACACTCGCATTTACACACATGCCTGCAAGCACTACTGTGGTTGGATGCTAACGAATTCTGCTCAGTGTGGGGTGGGGTTCCCTTGTTGGAGAGGAATGGCTCTTCAGTAGGAAGTCTTTTCAAGAGACATTCAAACGCAGTTTTCTGGAGGAGTCTGTTGAATATGTCTGCTGTTCGTGTGAGAGTCGATTGTGTTCAAATTGGGTCTCTTGTGTTGGTGAAAGTTTTCCGTAGGAGTTGATTGATTCGGAGTTTCTCTCTGTCTATTCACTGAGTCTTCTGTTCAATACGGAAGTGTTTTATTCAGTCTTTAGGTTTTGTCCCTAATTCAATCGTCATTAATGAATTGGATCGATGCGAAAGGTTTCTTAGTCTGGCGCGCAGAGCCTCGGGCACCAACACAGATCTCTGTGCATGCACTTCAGTACAACGTTGCCAAGTTGCACGTTACTATTTGGGTACGTGTGTGTACAGGCCGATCCATTTATAGATACCGACTGGCATAATGGGGAGAGATTCTCGAATGTTTTATTTTTATTTCAAAGCCTCTCCAAGTCTCTCGCCAAACTGGACACACTTGTTGGTTAAATTGTTTATCAATCTCGTCTGCGAGACACTGGGCCACCACTTTCAATACTCATTCAACTAGATTTGAAGCTTTCGTGACTGCAAGGATTCATATTCTTAGGTTTTTTTGGTAAAGTCACGTAGGTAATATATACGGAGTGGTAGCTCTTGCAATCTCTCATTTACTTGATACAGCTGTCGTGGCTGTGACGGTTCCACCTGAAGATGGAAGCTTGTGTTGCCTCCGAAACGTGGTGATTTTTATTTTATTTTACTTTTATTAATTTTAATGTTTTACCTACGTGACTTTACCGAAAAAACCTAAGAATATGAATACTCATTCAACTGCTGTTGAGGCGAAAGTAAAAAAGGGTCATTGGAAGAGTGGAGTATCTATGAATTGATCACCCTGCAATATAGTTTAGTTTGTGGTCCTTCCCCCGCACCTCCGATTTAGCGCGGTTAACTAAGAAGCTCAACATACATGTGTTTTCGTGCAGCCGTGCACTTGATCAAATTTGTAAATGGCAAATGTTTTATTTGTTGGCACTATACCGTGCTGATGAGTCTTAATTGGGATGAAACTGGTGTATCATAGAAGTCTATCGCTGCATCGCTGCTGCTGTTGGTCGGTCGGTCACATTTAATCACATGTACTTTTGATGGTGAAGAGAAATCCCAATGCAATTCTGCAGGAAATGCTGATGGCATTTTTGGATAAGGCAGAAAAGCGGTTGGGGGTTTTTAAACGCATTTTTGTGCATTGTTTGAAACCTAATTTGTGCTTAATTGTAGCAATCAGCCACACGAGTAATTGAAGGGGTTTCTCTCCCTGTGTGTGTGTGTGTACATAATCAGGGCCAAATCCTAGCCAACATGCGGGCCATGGACTCGGACTGGTTTGCTCAAAACTACATTGGACTCAAGTCCAAGGTGAGACTGAGCGAGCGTGCGAGTACGTCGTGCTGGCCACCCGCCGCCCTCCTGTGCCGTGTCGGGCCTTCAGAGCTGCTCCCTAACAGCACTTGCGCCAAAAGTCTGTTGAGGCTATATGGGGATGTTTGTTTTATGTATATGCATGTAGAGTTGTAACTTTGTGTTCATGTGTGTGGCGATAGTGCAAGGGGTAGCGAGCTGCATTACAAACCTGGCGGCCCGCGTTCCATTTCTGCTCGCTTCCAATACCCAGTGACGATTATCTGAACCGGTCCTGGGCCTCCCCTTGGTCGACTCCGCCTCAAATGAGTACCTGATGCCATATGTAAACATCGCCACTGGGGAGACAAAAGGAACCGGATTTGGTGCTCCCTCATGTCCTGTGCCTGTCTTCATCGGTGCTCGCTGACAGCACTTAACCCAAAAGCCTGTTAAGGCCATACGGGGGATCTTTATCTTTTTAGGGAGTGATATTTCAACTGGTCCTGGGTCCTCATCCAGGTCAACTCAACCTCGAATGAGTACCTGGTGCGGTGTCTAAGCTTTACCACGAGGGAGACCAGGCTTGGAGATAGCCACACCACCAGTTGTGTGTGTTGGTCTTATTAGTTACTTCCTCACAGCCCTAGCTCCAACAGTATACATCGGTGAGAGCGGTGGTGCAGTGGTTATCGGATCGTGCTACGAACCCAGCCATCGGTGGCGCGTGAAATCTGGACCAGTCCTTGTTTCCACCCCTTCCTCCACCTGCATTTACCAGTGGGGTGAAGTATGGTCAAGCAACCCCACAATTGGCACAGCGTGGGGCATGGGGGGGGGGAGGCCTTCATCCAGCAGTGGATCGGCAGGACTGGAGACGAGATTTGAAGGAGAATAAAAAGCACCACCGCTTTGATCGTTGGTCAATGTTAATGTGCCGTATTTTTGATGGACCGCGTGCCATCTTGGTGTGGTCCAGGACTGTTTTGTTGTCTTTGCAAATGAATGTATTTAATTTATCTTCTTGGTTCTTTCGGTAAAGTCGCGTAGAATGGAAATAATAAAAATGAAACATAATAAAATAATTCTCACGACGTTTTGGCCACAACGCAAGCAGCCGTCCTCAGGTGAAGAACAGGTCTGTCGAGAAGACAGAGTCTGTCTTGCGTTGTGGCCGAAACGTCGTGAGAATTATTTTATTATGTTTTATTATTATTTTATTATTTCCATTCTGCGTGACTTTACCGAAAGAACCAAGAAGATGAATCCCTGCAGTCACGAAAGCTTTAAATCGATATTTAATTTATTTTTCATATTCATATTGAGTGACTTGCTTACCATTTTCTCTATTTTGCACGCCTATTGTTTTTTTGGTATTGTTTGCTGTTGTCACTCGCTTGACCCACCCATATACTGGCGAAAAAGAGCTTTTGTAGCTCACTGGATTCCTCCAGCCTCCATTCGGTAATTCTGATTATTTTTTCCCTCCCGGGAACAGGTGGGGGCCCCCCCCGCTGAGAAGTTCAACCTCTGGGGGGGCTCGCTGTCGCTGGGCCACCCCTTCGGCGCCACCGGCTGCCGCCTCGTTACCACTGCCGCACATCGGCTGCACCGCGAGGGGGGGCAGTACGCGCTGGTCGCCGCTTGCGCTGCCGGAGGCCAGGTGAGTTCCGTCCGGTTGGTGGTGTGGGTTGGGCGTGCCTAGCCACGTAACGATTGTTAGTAACGACCCCCGTAGCGCGGCGATCTTGGCGGTACGCGGGTAAGCGGTTTTTCCGTAACGTAGCTCGGCGTGATGCGTCAGGACGGGGTATCGTGCACGCACCGATGGGTCATCTGTCGCGACGAGCAACACGCGTGGCCGTTACTCGTGACGCTTGGTGGTTGCGCTCGGCGGAGGTTAGCACGACTGAATTGGTAACGCGCTTCGTGGTTAACCCGCCGCCCCTCACTGCACGCAGCGATTCGATGGGCTGGCACAATGATTCGAGAGCGAATTGTAATTTAAGAACATTGAAACTAAAGTTGTTAGGGTTAATGTATTAGCTCTTGTCAATCTTGGCTATAATGGGGGCGGGCCCGTCGAATAGTATAATAATTGCTTTTTCTGATGTGCCCTCTGTGCGCAAATTTACATTAATACGTGTGTGTGTGTGTGAGGAGGGAGCGGTAGTGTAGCGATTAGCGCACTGCGTTATGAATCCGGTGACCAGAGTTTGATTCTCGCTCACGGCTAACATCGGTGACGAATATCTCAACCGGTCCTGGGGCCCTTCCTTAGGTCCACTCAGCCTTTAAATGAGGACCTGGTGCGATGTGTGAACATCAGCACTGGGGATACAAAGACGGCTAGAGCATGGTGATGGCCACCAACCTCCAATTCCTCCCCCGTGTACACCGTTGGGTGCTCGCTCGCAGCACTTGCCCCATAAAGTCTGTTAAAGGCTATACGTGGGGATCTTTGTCTTTTGTGTGTGCGTGTGCACAGGGCCACGGCATGATTGTGGAGGCATACCCACAGAAGTGAGGGCCCTCCCCAGCCTCGGTCGAGGCGAGGAGGAGGTGGAGGCGGCAGTGCCGGTGGCCGTTTCAATTCAACACGGAGGGGAGGCGTGTGCGGCGAGCCCGACCCCCTGCCTAGCGACGTCGAACCTGGACCCCCCCCCCCCCACCACCTCAGCTTGGCGGCTGCATCCATATGGAGCTCCTGCTTGGAGCTATCGAGATGGGACGGGCGTCTCCCAAGTGGTTCATGATGGCAATGTCGGGGCCACTTAAGCGAGCACCGCTGAGATCTATTGGGTTCAAATCCCAGACTCCCCTCCACTCCCCCCCCCCCCCCCCCCACCACAGCCGGTGGTTAAACCAGGTTTGTAGTCGGTAGTGAGTTTGACGTCTCAGCCCAGTCTCCCAGTGACTGCACGATAGGTCTGTGTCCAGTCAATGTCATTATTGCGCTTAATGTGACTTCGGTTGGCTCTGAATGACAGTGGAAGCTGCATACAAGTATTTTACACCCCTTGCGAGCGAGGCCAGCTGTGCTTATATCAGAAGTAGCGTGCATCTATCCAAATATACCCTCAGCCTTCCTCCCTGCAGTGTGCTGTCAATGTGTTTTGCTTATTTCAGAATGGTGCTGATGTTAAAGGGGTGCTTCTCACCATCCTGATCTAATATCCATCAGTACATAGACTCGCGGCAATCGACCTGAATTTGTCACAGAGCGTGAAGGAAGCGCCGCTTAGTGTCAGCTGTAACGATCCGGTACGCTTTTCCGATAATTATTTTGGCACCACGTCACGTGCGTCTCTCCTTTTTGTTCCGTATCATTTTTACAAACCTATTCATAGGTTTCTAGGAATATCGGGTACAATAAATGTAGGAGCATTATTGTTACGGATAGATGTGTACCCTGTCTTCCAGTGGGTCGTGCCTTACACCGATAAGTCCTTGCTCTGAGCCAGCCGAGCTTTACGGCGTTCCAGGAAGTATCGAGTAAGAAATGAATAGCTGCCTCGCGTGCTGAGCGATGGGACTATTTTAGTAAGCAAAACAGTCTTTGATGGGAGTTTTGGAATATATGGTGACAACATGATTTACCATATTCTCTGGATTATAAAACACTCTGGAAAGTAATACCTGTTCGAAATTTGTATCCGGTGTCAATAAAAGTCTGGGCACACGCGCGCACAGACAACTACCGGATTGTAAGACGAACCCCCTAAGTTTTGCTTTAAGATGCAGTGGGGAGGAAAAAAATTGTGTCCAGCATTATAATCCCAGAGAATGCGGACGTTTGTTGTTCTTCCCCCGCACCTCCGATTATCAGGGTTGGCTACGTGCAGTGCAATGTAAGTTCTACATACATACCGTTTAAACATTTCACATTCTCTGTGCATGTATTCCGAATTAAGCTAATTTCAATAAAGAGCAAGTGCTTGACTAAACCACTATCTCTCCTGTGTAATAAACTCCCCAGTTGGCAACGGTAAAGCGATAACACGCAGATTGTAGCAGTCCCCCTAGAAGGTTGAAATAAACGCTCTGCTGTTGAATGGCGCAATCCAGTCACAGTGGTGGTTTTTGCTGCATATCGTTGGAAAGAGTGTTGTGTTTGAAGCGCGTCATTCGTTAAAGGGAGTGTTTTCTGAAGGGTGCTATTGTCGATGCATTTCTGGGGTTGTGTGGCTGTGTCCGTATATTTGTTTGTTGGGCCCAAACTACGTTGCGTATAAATAATAACAAATCCACCCACTGGGAGGTGTTCGTCAGAATTGACTCGATAGCAATTGATGTTCTGTTTATGTAAAATGTACACCTGGGCAAGCTTTCACTACTGCAGATGTGGTCTCGGTGGGTCCTCGAATGACCATCAGGAAGTTCCGAGGATGCTTAAATCGGTCGGGTCAACCCTGATGCTGTCAAGGGATAATTACATCTGAGGATGCGTGAGGCTAACAAAACTTTTGAGATCGCGACAATGCACTTTGTTCCTATTCTGTCACCTGAAGACGATTGCTTGTGTTGCGATCGAAACGTCGTGATAGTTTTATTCTTTTTCTATCTACGTGGCATTACCGAAAGACCCATAGAATATATATATTCCTGCAGTCACGAAAGCTTTAAGTCAAGATTTCACTTTGTTCCTCTTTGCATTTCTGTTTTCGGTCAAACTGCGGGTTAACATTTATTTTCCACTAACCACTTGGCTTGCACTCCAGATGACGTCTCGATCTGGGCCTTTTGCAAATAATAAAATAGAAATGTGATCTTTATGACTTCTGCGTCTGTTTCTGAACCACAACACTCAACCCTAAAGTGTACGCAGTACAGCAAGGAGTTCCCCCCCCCCCACCTCTGATTAGTACATTTGGCTATGTAAGAAGTTCAACATACAAGAAGATGAAATCCAAACTGGTCTTCTCGAGCCGCTACGAATCTTCATGATACAATCATTTGTAAGGACTGATGTTGCCGTGGTGTAATGGTTAGCAATACACTGGAGTTGAGATCCAGAGGTCGCAGGTTCAATTAAATCTCCCGGCACAGCAATTTCAAGTTTCTTAATCCCCCCCCCTGCCCCCCGCAGTATAAATGGGCACACAAACGTTGATTGGCAAATCGTGTTGTGGTGGGGAAAAGTTTGGAAATTTTCGAGAAGTCTGGGCCAGCAATGAAGAGAAGGTCAGATGCCCTCCAGAGCAGTGTTCTTCTCCGGGCCACTGGCGGACCCTGACATGCAGCCTCTGACGTGCAGCCCCCAACAATACACATGTGAAAACACCCCATCTTGCTGTCAAACCCCATTGGTTTCAAATGTGTGGCGACCCTCACACTGATGTCTTATTCGCGAAAGTGCTTTGCGCCCTGAAAATTAGTGACGAACACTGCTCTGGAGTTCCCTGTCGTGGAGGCTCTTGCACCTTTACCGTTGTATTGTGATTGATCGTGACCGTAAAACAAATCTCGAGGGAGTGGTTCACTACACGTGTATACTCTGATCCATCACGGAGCTGCGTGTCCCCACATCTTGTGCTGCATTTGCTTCCGAGCTGCACAGGAGGGGGGGAAACTTCCTTCATGCTGCAAGGAGAGGGAGGGACTGCGTCCTAATGATCTCAACTCTGTTGAAAGGTCATTGTTGTGGTTTGACCGCTGAGTCTGAATTTGCAAGTCAAAATCGTGACTTGCCTCTACAAGGCTGCTTTAGGGTCATCTCCATTGGCAGTGCTCCGTCAGTGGTGGAAATTCTACAATCCGATAGCGGGAGAGGCTGTCTTGCCAGAAGACAACCGTTGTGCCACAAATTGGTACTCGTTTTTCTTTATCAATCCCGGAGGAAACATGATGGTTATGATGGTTCGAATAGATTTCCTATTCACAAAACGGTCTCGCTGAGCGAAGGTTGATTCGGGGCTTCTACAGAAAGTCTTTGTTGTTGGGAGCAGCCAGAGTGGAAGTGAATGGTGAGATGAGAGGGGAGAGGTAGGGGAGTGTGTGGAGGGAGTAGAGTGAGGGGAGAGGTAGGAGAGTGGAGGGGAGTAGAGTGAGAGTTAGGAGAGCGTGTGGAGGAGAGTACAGAGGAGTGAGATGAGAGGGGAAAGGTAGAGTGTGGGGTGGAGTAGAGTGAGATGAGAGTGGAGAGGTAGGAGAGTGCTTGGAGGGGAGTAGAGTGAGATGAGAGGAGAGGTAGGAGAGTGTGTGGGGTGGAGTAGAGTGAGATGAAAGGAGAGGTAGGAGAGTTCGTGGAGGGGAGTAGAGTGACGTGAGAAAATATTTGAGTGCGATTCAGTGCACTGCACTATGAACCCGGAAACCTGAGTTTGATTCATTCTCACGGCTAACATCAGTGGTGCGCTTTATCTAAACCCATTCCGGGCTACTCCCAATTTATTGTTTCCCTTATCCACGTCACATGTAAGAGCGATGCCACGGGGCTAATAAACGTTGACCCTATATAAATACACGTTAGTCAGCCTACGTATTGGCATTTCAGACTGACATCATCCAGCGGCAAAAGCGTGCGTTTAAACCAGGAGTGGAGAACGTCCAGCCCACGAAATCATTTGGTGGTGGCCCTGCCAAGGCAACCGCAGGCGGGACTCGAAATTCAATAAATCTAGGAGCAAACCTGGAAAAGCAGTTGCGAGTAGCAGCAGCATCATCAATACCAGCTAACATCACACGCCTCACCAAAGAGAAGCAGTTCCAGCCCATCGCATTAGGGGTGAGTTAATTAAATGTTTGACCAAATATAACAGGCAGATTTTTAAGTTGATAATTTTGTATGGCCCGCGAATGATTTTATTAATATCCAAATGGCCCTTGGTAGAAAAAAGGTTCCACACTCCTGGATATACACTGGGGCTGATTCAACAAATGCTTGCTGGATGTAACAGACGTTATGGGGAAGGGCACCGCATCAAAACTGCAGGTACCTCGTTCAGACATTTGTGCTACGCCCATTTAAACCTTTCTAAACACATACTCATCTTCTTGGTTCTTTCTGTAAAGTCACGTAGGTAGAAAAATAATAGATCACGACGTTTCGATCGCAACACAAGCAATCGCCATCAGGTGGGAAAACCACAGCAAGAAAACAACTGTTTAAGTACGTTCAGTAGTTGCATTTAGGGGCTTACCACCCCCCCCCCCCTTTTCTCTCCGCCTGATGATGACCGCTTGCGTTGCGATCGAAACGTCGTGAGTTTTTTGTTCACTTTATTTTTTCTTATTATATTTTTTCTATCTACGTGACTTTCCCGAAATAATCAAAATAATAAGATAAGACGCCATTGGAAATTTCGTCCTTTGTTGGAGTTGTTTTTGCACGATTGAGAAAAAAAATCGCTCAACCGCATGTTATAATTCGGCGACGTTTCGGGCATATGACCCTTCTTCATAACAAAGGCAAAGATCCCCCGTGTAGCCTGTAACAGACTGTTGGGGCCACAAGTGGTGCTGTTAGTGAGGGCCTACGAAGGCCGGCACGGCGCACGAGGGAGTGGGTGGCCAGCACCACGCCCGGCCGCCTTTGTCTTCCCAAGTGGCGATGTTTAAACACCGCACCCAGGCACTCATTTGAGGCTGAGTCAACCCAGGGGGAAGGCCCACGACCGGTTCATACATAATCATAGCTGCCAAACCACACGGTTTGCCCCGTATTCTTGTACGAGGAAATTGAGTTTTCAGGTCCATATATACGGCGTGCAGCCGTTTCAATGCGGGCAATTTTTTTTTGTATATTTGTTTGGGGCCGTCCATAAATGACGTCACGCACCTGGGGGGGGGGGGGTCAGACATTTATGACGATGTGTGACGAGGGGGGGAGGCATCTTCTTGGTTCTTTCGGTAAAGTCACGTAGAAGGGAAGTAATAAAATAATAAAAATTAAAACATATTATGTTTTAAAACATATTATGTTTTATTTTTATTATTTATATAGTTTAAAGCGATTTGAAGCATGTTTTATTTTCAAAATGGAAATATGGTTTGGGGGGGGGGGCAGAGCTTTGTGACGTCATATTTGAAGGGGGGGGGGTCTGACTTTTTGTGACGCCGTGTGACGAAGAGGGGGGGGGGGGGTAAAAAAAATCGTCCAAAATCGCGTGACGTCATTTATGGACGGCCCCTTTCTCCCTTGTGATTGGACTTTGTAGGATGAACGTTGAGATTTATAAGGGTCTGAATTGGTCTGTAATATTGTAGGGGCACTAAGGGGTTGACAGATACGGGGGGGGCACCCCCCCCCGTCACTCACCGCCCCCCCCCCCCGTCACTCACCGCCCCCCCCCCGTCACTCACCACCCCCCCCCCCCATCACTCACCGCCCCCCCCCCGTCACTCACCGCCCCTCCCCCGTCACTCACCGCCCCTCCCCATCACTCACCGCCCCCCCCCCCCGTCACTCACCGCCCCCCCCCGTCACTCACCGCCCCTCGCCCGTCACTCACCGCCCCCCCCCCCATCACTCACCGCCCCCCCCCCCCGTCATTCACCGCCCCCCCCCCCGTCACTCACCGCCCCCCCCCCCCCCGTCACTCACCGCCCCTCCCCCCCCGTCACTCACCGCCCCTCCCAGTCACTCACCGCCCCCCCCCCCCGTCACTCACCGCCCCCCCCAGTCACTCACCGCCCCCCCCCCCGTCACTCACCGCGCCCCCCCCCGTCACTCACCGCCCCGCCCCCCGTCACTCACCGCCCCGCCCCCCCCCGTCACTCACCGCCCCTCCCCCCCCGTCACTCACCGCCCCTCCCCCCGTCACTCACCGCCCCCCCCCCCGTCACTCACCCCCCCCCGTCACTCACCGCCCCCCCCCCCCGTCACTCACCCCCCCCCCCGTCACTCCGTCACTCACACACGGGGACCCCCCCCCACTCCAAGCGAGGGGGGGGGGGTTTGTTGTGAACGCGCCGGATCCGGATCCCCAATGCGCGCCACGGGAACCGGATCCCCGAGGAACCCGCGAGTCGCGGGAATCCGGATCCGCGGAGGCTCTTGAACGACGCGGGGAAGTGCGGCGCTGCCCCCCCCCCTCGACTCTCTCTGCCCCCCCCCCTCGACTCACTCTCTCTGCACTCTGCCCCCCCTCTACTCTCTCTGCACTCTGCACTCTGCCCCCCCCCTCGACTCTCTCTGCACTCTGCACTCTGCCCCCCCTCGACTCACTCTGCCCCCCCCCCTCGTCTCTCTCTGCACTCTGCACTCTGCCCCCCCCCTCTACTCTGTCTGCCCCCCCCCCTCGACTCACTCTCTCTGCACTCTACCCCCCTTCGACTCTCTCTACACTCTGCCCCCCCCCTCTACTCTCTCTGCACCCCCCCTCGACTTTCTCTGCACTCTGCCCCCCCCCTCGACTTTCTCTCTCTGCACCCCCCCCCCCTCGACTCTCTCCCTGAACTCTGCCCCCCCTCCCCTCGACTCTCTCCCTGCACTCTCTACACACTCCCAACACTGTCCACCTCGCACTCTCCCTCATCTCTGCACATCCTTCCCTGCACCCACTCTCCCTGCACTCCCTCACTGCACACACTCCACACACTGTCTCTGCACTCTCCACACACCCTAGCTACACACACACAAACTCTCCCTCCCTGCACTCTCCACACACTCTCACTGCACTCTCCACACACTCTCACTGCACTCTCTCACTGCACACACTCCACGCACTGTCTCTGCACTCTCCACACACCCTAGCTACACACACACACTCTCCCTCCCTGCACTCTCCCTGCACACTCCCTCATCTCTGCACATCCTCCCCTGCACCCACTCTCAACACACAATCTCCCTGCACTCTCCACACACTCTCACTGCACACTCCCTCATCTCTGCACATCCTCCCCTGCACCCACTCTCAACACACAATCTCCCTGCACTCTCCACACACTCTCACTGCACACTCCCTCATCTCTGCACATCCTCCCCTGCACCCACTCTCAACACACAATCTCCCTGCACTCTCCACACACTCTTACTGCACACTCCCTCATCTCTGCACATCCTCCCCTGCACCCACTCTCAACACACAATCTCCCTGCACTCTCCACACACTCTCACTGCACACTCCCTCATCTCTGCACATCCTCCCCTGCACCCACTCTCAACACACAATCTCCCTGCACTCTCCACACACTCTCACTGCACACTCCCTCATCTCTGCACATCCTCCCCTGCACCCACTCTCAACACACAATCTCCCTGCACTCTCCACACACTCTCACTGCACACTCCCTCATCTCTGCACATCCTCCCCTGCACCCACTCTCAACACACAATCTCCCTGCACTCTCCACACACTCTTACTGCACACTCCCTCATCTCTGCACATCCTCCCCTGCACCCACTCTCAACACACAATCTCCCTGCACTCTCCACACACTCTCACTGCACACTCCCTCATCTCTGCACATCCTCCCCTGCACCCACTCTCAACACACAATCTCCCTGCACTCTCCACACACTCTCACTGCACACTCCCTCATCTCTGCACATCCTCCCCTGCACCCACTCTCAACACACAATCTCCCTGCACTCTCCACACACTCTCACTGCACACTCCCTCATCTCTGCACATCCTCCCCTGCACCCACTCTCAACACACAATCTCCCTGCACTCTCCACACACTCTCACTGCACACTCCCTCATCTCTGCACATCCTCCCCTGCACCCACTCTCAACACACAATCTCCCTGCACTCTCCACACACTCTCACTGCACTCTCCCTCATCTCTGCACATCCTCCCCTGCACCCACTCTCAACACACAATCTCCCTGCACTCTCCACACACTCTCACTGCACACTCCCTCATCTCTGCACATCCTCCCCTGCACCCACTCTCAACACAATCTCCCTGCACTCTCCACACACTCTTACTGCACACTCCCTCATCTCTGCACATCCTCCCCTGCACCCACTCTCAACACACAATCTCCCTGCACTCTCCACACACTCTCACTGCACACTCCCTCATCTCTGCACATCCTCCCCTGCACCCACTCTCAACACACAATCTCCCTGCACTCTCCACACACTCTCACTGCACACTCCCTCATCTCTGCACATCCTCCCCTGCACCCACTCTCAACACACAATCTCCCTGCACTCTCCACACACTCTCACTGCACACTCCCTCATCTCTGCACATCCTCCCCTGCACCCACTCTCAACACACAATCTCCCTGCACTCTCCACACACTCTTACTGCACACTCCCTCATCTCTGCACATCCTCCCCTGCACCCACTCTCAACACACAATCTCCCTGCACTCTCCACACACTCTTACTGCACACTCCCTCATCTCTGCACATCCTCCCCTGCACCCACTCTCAACACACAATCTCCCTGCACTCTCCACACACTCTCACTGCACACTCCCTCATCTCTGCACAACCTCCCCTGCACCCACTCTCAACACACAATCTCCCTGCACTCTCCACACACTCTTACTGCACACTCCCTCATCTCTGCACATCCTCCCCTGCACCCACTCTCAACACACAATCTCCCTGCACTCTCCACACACTCTCACTGCACACTCCCTCATCTCTGCACATCCTCCCCTGCACCCACTCTCAACACACAATCTCCCTGCACTCTCCACACACTCTCACTGCACACTCCCTCATCTCTGCACATCCTCCCCTGCACCCACTCTCAACACACAATCTCCCTGCACTCTCCACACACTCTCACTGCACTCTCCCTCATCTCTGCACATCCTCCCCTGCACCCACTCTCAACACACAATCTCCCTGCACTCTCCACACACTCTCACTGCACACTCCCTCATCTCTGCACATCCTCCCCTGCACCCACTCTCAACACAATCTCCCTGCACTCTCCACACACTCTTACTGCACACTCCCTCATCTCTGCACATCCTCCCCTGCACCCACTCTCAACACACAATCTCCCTGCACTCTCCACACACTCTCACTGCACACTCCCTCATCTCTGCACATCCTCCCCTGCACCCACTCTCAACACACAATCTCCCTGCACTCTCCACACACTCTCACTGCACACTCCCTCATCTCTGCACATCCTCCCCTGCACCCACTCTCAACACACAATCTCCCTGCACTCTCCACACACTCTTACTGCACACTCCCTCATCTCTGCACATCCTCCCCTGCACCCACTCTCAACACACAATCTCCCTGCACTCTCCACACACTCTTACTGCACACTCCCTCATCTCTGCACATCCTCCCCTGCACCCACTCTCAACACACAATCTCCCTGCACTCTCCACACACTCTCACTGCACACTCCCTCATCTCTGCACAACCTCCCCTGCACCCACTCTCAACACACAATCTCCCTGCACTCTCCACACACTCTTACTGCACACTCCCTCATCTCTGCACATCCTCCCCTGCACCCACTCTCAACACACAATCTCCCTGCACTCTCCACACACTCTCACTGCACACTCCCTCATCTCTGCACATCCTCCCCTGCACCCACTCTCAACACACAATCTCCCTGCACTCTCCACGCTCCCTCCCTGCACACTCCACACACTCTCACTGCACTTTCCCTCACCTCCACACACGTACACCCACACACTCAAACTACATACACTCACACTGCCTACACACACACACTCTAGCTACACACACACACTCTGCCTACACACACACACACACACTGCCTACACACACACACTCTAGCTACACACACACTCTCTGCCTACACACACACACACACTGCCTACACACACACTGCCTACACACACACACTCTAGCTACACACACACTCTCTGCCTACATACACACTCTCTGCCTACACACACACACTGCCTACACACACACACACTGCCTACACACACACACTCTAGCTACACACACACACTCTCTGCCTACACACACACACACTGCCTACACACACACACTGCCTACACACACACACTCTAGCTACACACACACTCTCTGCCTACACACACACACTGCCTACACACACACACACTGCCTACACACACACACTCTAGCTACACACACACACTGCCTACACACACACACTCTAGCTACACACACACACTCTAGCTACACACTAGCTACACACACACACTGCCTACACACACACTCTCTAGCTACACACACTCTAGCTACACACTAGCTACACACACACTGCCTACACACACACTCTCTAGCTACACACACACACTCTAGCTACACACTAGCTACACACACACACTGCCTACACACACACTCTCTAGCTACACAAACACAGTCTAGCTACACACACTCACACTGCCTACACACACACTCTAGCTACACACACACACTCTAGCTACACACACACTTTAGCTACACACACTCACACTGCCTACACACACACTCTAGCTACACACACTCTAGCTACACACACTCACACTGCCTACACACACACACTCTAGCTACACACACACACTCTAGCTACACACACACACTGCCTACACACACACACTCTGCCTACACACACACTCTAGCTACACACACTCTAGCTACACACACACTCTGCCTACACACACACTCTAGCTACACACACTCTAGCTACACACACACTCTGCCTACACACACACTCTAGCTACACACACTCTGCCTACACAATCTCCTCTCCCTGGACACTCCCCTCGCTGTTATACCACCTCCATCCACGCAGTCTCCGCCCTTTGACCCCCGTGTCTCTCTCTCTCTCTCCCGTCTCTCCCCTCTCTCCTCACGGCTGCCTCGTCCACTGCCTCCTCCTCATCCTCACTCTCGTGGCCGCCTTCAGCATGAGTGGGAGCGCTGGTGCAGAGAAGAAGGCGGTGGCTGCTGCTGCTGCTGATGATGGTGCTGATGTTGATGCCCGTGTAGCCGCTGTTGCTGTTGGCGGCGGTGCTGCTGCTGTTGTTGTTGCTGCTGATGATGGTGTTCATGATGCTGATGGTGTTGATGGTGATGATGGTGGAGACCGTGTGTGGGAGCCTCCACCCAGAGTTCGGGAAGGAGCTCACATCCCGGACATGAAAAGCTACCAGGAGACGTACAGACGTTCCGTGACACAGCCTCAGGGTGAGTGAGACAGGGGGGGGGAGGGGGGGTAAGGGGCACACAGAGGAGCACGGGGCTGACGGGACAGGTGACACCGAGGATGTACAGGGGGGTCACCACGTGGAGAAGGTGACCAGAGGGACACGTGGACGAGAATGGTACACGTGGTGACGGGGGTATTCGGAGACGATGGTGTACTGCGGGACACAGGGAGGACTCGGACACTGCGACTGATAAGGGGAACGGTGGGACGCGCAGAGCCTCAGACTCGTGTATGTAATACTGGTAGGAACCACCTGGTTCAACCTGCCCACAGGGAATTATTGTGTCCGTCCGTCCGTCGTGCCGGGAGGGGCTGGGTGGGGAGGGGAGGGTGGGGCTGGGTGGGGAGGGTGGGGCTGGGTGGGGAGGGTGGGGCTGGGTGGGGAGGGTGGGGCTGGGTGGGGAGGGTGGGGAGGGTGGGGAGGGTGGGGAGGGTGGGGCTGGGTGGGGAGGGGCTGCTCACCCCGTGGTGCCCTTATAAAACTCAACGTTTAACCTACTCACGCCGGCTTGTGCCCGCCCTCACAGTCGGCCATATTTGCGGAATACACCACGCCGCCGTTGACCCTGCAGGCCATTGACCGAGCAACCCAACGTTCCTACCAGCTCCCTCCGCAGGAGGAATGTGTTACTGACATCACAATGCCCTTTACCCAGTAGAGCCATGAAGTGTTAATGTGTGATCAAGGTGGGACTAAAGTGTGGTTAAAGTGTTTAAAGTCATAAGGTGTTGGCAGAATAACTCTCTCCCTTCCTCAACCATGTCTCGTGTGACTTCACGCTGTTTACTGCTCACCCTATAACTTTTCTCGTCCACTTTCAATGAGCTGTCCACTACTGGGCAATGTGTTTTGGCGATGCTGCTTTGGCAGCAATGTCCAAGTTCAATGAAACTGGATTGATGTGCTATGAAGAAGGACCGTTTCCCGAAACGTTGCCTATTATTTATGTATTTCATTTCAAGGCCAAGGTGTTATCTTGGACGGGCGTGTAGAGTTGTTTGTCCAGCATTGCGCCAGGTAATGCAGCGTCTACGGTAGTGAGAACAATTTAATCATATTTCTTCCACAAGGCATTTGGGATCTGTTGGTTAGGATTCGTCTAAAATTAGCTTCTTCATTTTTCGATTTAAAGCTTTCGTGACTGCAGGGATTCATATTCTTGGTTCTTTCGGTAAAGTCACGTAGAAGGGAAATAATAAACTAATAAAAAGAAAACAATACAATTCTCACGACGTTTCGATTGCAACACAAGCAAAATTTTCTTGCCGTGGTTTTCACACCTGATGATGATTGCTTGTGTTGCAATCGAAACGTCGTGAGAATTTAATAGTTTTATTTTTATTATTTTATTATTTCCCTTCTACGTGACTTTACCGAAAGAACCAATAATATACTTAATTATTGTCTTGGGTTTTGCCTAAAAATGTATATTTCCTCCTATCATCTCTTTCTCCAAGTCGTCATGACTTTAAAACGAGTACTACCACATTCACGGCGGAGTCAACAGTGGTTGTTCTATGAATAGACTCGCCCCGTCATGGGAATGTGGAGTTTCGGCCACTGCCTCTGCAAGACTGCTGACAGGAGAGGAGCTCTAATACCTCAATGCTCATTTGAGGAGGAATGCATTTTGACTTTAAACCATCTCAATCCAAGAAACGTGGCCACTTTTATGTAGCGCAATGTTGGTAGTGCTGTCTGTTGCTGGCCGCTAGGCGTTTTGGGCATTTCGACCTGTGCACAAAAACCGTGATGTCAAAAAACTATCTCTCTGTGGCTATATTGAAGTGCAATTTGCTTCACAGCAGCCTGTGAATGTATGAATTAGTACATATTTAATGTGCGGTTAATGTGTGGCTGCGGCGTGGATAAAGTGTGCCGCCGACTAGCATGGGAGAGTATGATCAAAACATTTCTAAATCATTTGGTTGCTACTATAAATTACCACATGATGATAATATTAGACATGTCAGTGGGCTATCATGTGTTGTCAGGTCGCCTCCGAAAAATAGCTGCTGTCTCAGTGGACTTTAGTTGGTATTATAAAATGTTTTGTTTCATTTCTCTGCGATGCGAATAATTAATCCACGTCGCACGCGCACGAAAACCGAATTTTATCACTCTGTCTCCTCGGGGTGGTGTATGTACTGGACGAGACCGTAGGCGGAATCGCAGTGAAAATGAGAGAACGCCTCCCAATAGGAGATGTATCCGTGATAACCAGTTCACGTATCAGTTGCTGGGATCAATCGCTCCATCGCAAGAACGTGAGATGTGGTGGTGGTGGTGGCGGCTTGGGGAGACATTCATCCAGCAGCGGATTGGCAAAGTCCTATAATACACGTGGTTTATTTCCAGAAAGGGTAAAACCTATTCTTATTCGTGATTTGAAGCTTTCGTTACTGCAGGAATCCATACTCTTTCGGTTCTTTCGGTAAAGTCACGTGGGTAGAAAATAAAATAAATCACGACGTTTCGGGCACAACACAAGCGTCTGCCATCAGGTGGGAAAGCGTGGTCTGTTGCTGATGCAGACTGTTTTAAAGGTCCCTATTATTTTGTAATGCTCACCCCGAGCTATAAATGCTCTGATCGTGCATTGTCTTTGTGCTGTTCCCCTTTTGGCGTCTTTTGGTCTGACACTGGTGAGACGAGGCCCTAATGAAGGCTGTCTCAGGCGTAGGCCAATCAGTTTCAAAGACAATGCCATATTCTCAGAGCATGTTTGTTTGCATGTTCACCACAAGTACTCTGCGTGATTAATGCAGACTTGGTTCCATTTCAAAAGGTTTCTATTTGGTGTTTGAACATCTTAACGCCTGGTTTCTTGCCAGAAAGGGTAAAACCTATTCTTATTTTTTCATATATTGTGTCTTACCATGTCCAAGGTGGTAGACTGGGTTGTGATTATCGTGTATGGTTCCTATTCATAATCGTCAGCCGTGGTCAATCCACTGCTGGATGAAGGTCTCCCCAAGTCATCGCCACATCTCATGATCCTGCTATGTGACTACCCACCCAGCAGCTGCTGCTGCACACAAACTGAATTCATCGCTCCGTCTCCTAAGATGTGCGTCCTCTCGGACATGTTCCATTCCTTGGCTTCCACTCCATTATTATTCTTAACTATCGGCCACGGTTAATGCGTGGTTCAGGTGAGCTTATGATGATGCTAAAGTGTGGTTAATACCATAAGGTGTGTATTACCCCGTGATTAAGGCGTGAGTAAATTGTGGGTTAAGGTAATATGGATAATTATAATAATTCGACATTTACACAATGCGCTATCATGTTGAAATATCTCTACCGTGCAGACAAAAAAGGGCTTGGGGTATATGTGTGGACTGGATTGTGGTTGACGTGTGTGGTTCACTTGGGGTTGCAGGTGTGGCGAGTGCGCTGTGTATTTCTGTGCTTGTGTGAGTTTTTTGGTGAGGCTTGCTGTGAGGTTGAGTGTGGTTACTCCGCTGTGCAGGAAGGCGTTATATTTGAGTTCATTTTGGATTGTTGTTATCGTTCTAATCGCACGACGATATCAAGAAGGAAAGTGCTGTGTCCACAGACAGTCCGCAGTAGTTTCACAGTAGGGGGGAGATGGATGCTGTGTGTTTCCCCATTGAGTAATTTGCCGTGTAAGTTTACGAGTTTGGAAATGTTTGGACCCTGACACAGGCACACAATGGCCTACTCTTTTACAGTGACATCTGGTGTATTATTTAAACTTGCGTTGCGAAGGAAACAGCGCGTAGTATTTAATGGTTAATACGCACCGCATTATTTATCAGGGTGGCCTGCCGGATTCGAACCACGAACTTGCGCAACAACCCGCCTATCGCTGGGGCCATGTCATGGCCAATAACGCGAGTGTGTTTTCACATTGGTAGTTAGGGGAACGGACTGGCTTGGTTTTGGACAATGTAAAACAAAGATTAGGGTGCCATAATCCTGAGGATAAGATTAGATTTCAGTGAGGCTGACACGGGGAGTTTACACCTCTTTATCTACCTGGATATCCGGAATAGGTTTCAAGACTCTTTTTTTAGGAGGGTCCTGCTTACATTGGGGATGTTTGGCCCAATTCTTTTGGCTTCGTGTGGTCGAAATCTTGAGTAACAGGAGAAAGACACACACACACACGAGTAACGCTCATACTCCGCACAGATGGATTTAAGAATCCATTGTTGTACCACCGTCTCATGGCCACTGCACTGCCCACCACCACCTGGCACTCCCAGGCAAGTCTCCCATCCAGTGGTAACTAACCAGGCCCAATCCTGCTTAGCTTCCGAGATCTGATGAAATCTGACGCGTCCCAAGTGATTCTAGTCACAGGCAATTTGTCATTTTTAGACCGCAACTATGGAAATCGCTTAAGTCCTTAAATTTTTTGAAACTCGTTTTTATGCAGCGGTTCTCAACCCTTGGACAGCTCTTGGTGGGGAGGGCAGGCTGCGGCATGGATGCCGTGCAGGAGAAATTTTGAATGTGCACGTGGGAATGTCATCGTCGCGTTGTGGTGACACAACACAGATGCACAATGTGTAACATGTCTCTAAGACAAAACACACTGATATCAAGGCTACGTACTGTGCGAAAGAAGTTCTACATACATAATACATAGCACATGAAGCACATGCCTCTGAACACAAAACACAGTAAATTAAAACATGGCTTACTAACACAAAACACACCATACATAACATGAAACGCATGCCTTATGGACACAAAACACACAAATAAACAATATGACACACATGCCGTACTTAACATAAAACACACTAATGCACAGCATGCAACACGTGCCGTAATTTAACACAAAATGCACTAATACCCGACACGTTAATGCATGCCTCACCAACACCACGTCAACTCGAGGCGTTGACTTGTTTAACCCTCTCTCTCTGTGCGATGGCCTGAGTAACTTGGTGTTGAGGAGCCATGTGGACCAATGGCCTTGATTGTCTGGGGGCCCAACTA